GGATCGACCCCTGTGGGACTCCACAGGTCAGGGCCATATGATCTGAGACACAGTTTCCAATCTCCACAAAGTACTTCCTGTCTTCAAGGTAAGACCTAAACCAACTTAGGGCGGTGCCAGTGACGCCAACCCAGTCCTCTAGTCTCTGTAAGAGGATCTCATGGTCGACGGTGTCAAAGGCAGCACTTAGATCTAACAAGATTAAGATTGAGACTTTGCCTGGCGTCAGTGTTCAGCCGGATATCGTTTGTAACCTTAACGAGAGCAGTCTCAGTGCTGTGGTGGGGTCTAAAGCCGGACTGAAACATATCAAATGAGTTGTTGATTATAAGAAATCTAGTAAGCTGTAGGTAGACAACTTTCTCAAGGACTTTCCCCATAAATGGCAGATTTGAGATGGGACGATAGTTGTTAAGTACAGTGGCATCCAGACTGCTCTTTTTTAGCAGGGGCCTGATGACTGCAGTTTTCAGGGCCTTTGGGAATATTCCAGAATGAAGGGACATGTTTACTATCTGTGTGAGTGAAGGTAACAGACTGCTCAGAACAGACTTTAGAAATCTAGTGGGTAGTTCATCCAAGCTGCATGTGGAGGAGCTCAAACTGGAGATTATCTCTTGGACAGTTTTATCATTTACAGGTGCAAAGTGAGTTAGCTCAGAGAGCCTTTCTGGCTGTTGGATGGTTATCTGTGGATTGGAGACAATGGCGCTTTTGATGCCTTGAACCTTGTCATTGAAAAAATTAGCAAACTCATTGCATTTACGTTTGGAAGTAAGCTCTAATGGCATTTGAACAGGGGGGTTTGTTAATCTATTAACTGTTGAGAACAGAACACGCAGATTGTTGCTGCAGCCTTCAATCATTTCAGAAAAATACCTTTCTCTCGTACTACGTAGCACCCGGTTAAACTCGCACAACTTATCTTTGAAGATCTCGTAATCTACCTGGAGGTTGGACTTGCGCCACTTCCGCTCGGCCCTCCGGCACTTTCTCTTTTGTGCCCTGACCGAGTCTGCTTTAGCCCACGGCGCCTTCTGCTTATTTTTCACTATTTTAACCTTCACAGGGGCAACGGTATCCAGAACATTCAAAACACTAGAGGTGACAGAGTTAAACAGTTCATCTACAGTAGAATACGATGCATTCTCAAAGTTTATCATTTCCATAAATAGTTCACTCGTATTTTCATTTATGCGCCTTCTTCGAACAGTTGCAGAGTCCACTGGTGGTTTGTTAGTGAAACACATGTCAAAAAAAACACAGAAATGATCCGAAAGAGCAACATCGACCACGTTTACATTTGAAATAATCACCCCCTTTGTAACTAACAGATCTAGAGTGTGCCCTCTGCTGTGGGTGGGGCCACTTACGTGCTGAGTGAGATCAAAGGATTCAAGTACAGAACTCAGCTCATTTGCATTTCTGTCATCAACATTATCCACATGAATATTAAAATCACCTGTAATAACCAAACTATCAAAATCTGTGCATACAACTGAAAGCAACTCGGTAAAATGATCAATAAAACTGTGACATGACTGCGGTGGCTTGTATAGGACAACGAAGAGTATTGGAGGAGATTGTTTTTGTTGTATTTTAAAAGACACATATTCAAATGACGAAAACTTCCCAAGAGACATTCTATGGGAGACAAAGTGGTCTCTAAAAATGGCAGCTAAGCCTCCTCCTTTTTTGTTTTCCCGTATTTCAGATTCAAACTTGAAATTTGGTGGTGATGCTTCTATTAAAACTGCATTTTCTGAATTTTGGTCAAGCCAAGTTTCAGCCATGAACATAAGATCAAGATTATGAGAAGAAATAAAATTATTGATTAAAAAAGACTTGTTACAAAGAGATCTGACATTAAGCGTAGCAAGTTTCAAAGTTTCAGTATCAGCGGTTGCGGTCGGCTGATTCTTACACGGAACAAGAATTAGATTTTCCAGATTAGACTGATTAACTCCAGATGTTTTTCTGTAATGTATTCTTTGTGTTATCACTAAGGGAATGGCTCAGGTGGCTTCATGACAGGGCCCCAGCCGGGTCTCTCCTCTAACTAGACTGCCAGTGGCTGCGAAGCAGAGACCCTGTGCATCCTAGTGTTTAGAGAAAAGAGGGGTAGGGGAAGGCGGGGGAGGAGGATGGAGAGGTGGGTGGCTTTTGGGTGTTGAACGAGGGGGGCAGGGAGGTGGATGGGTTTTTGGTGATGGGTTAGGGGAGGGGCAGGCTGAGTTGGGTGGTGGACGAGGGGGGAGTGGAGGTGGAGGGTTTCTTGGTGCTGAGTTAGGGGGGGGGAGGTGGGCTAAATGAGCAGGAGGGGGGGGTGGAATACTTATGGGGTTAGAGGAGGGACGGGTGGATTTTGTGGGAGAATTTGAGTTGGACGCCCTAGGTGGCTTTGGAGGTACGTATGGGGAGTAGTTTTGAATGTTAGATAGGACTCTTGATCTGGCTACAGTGGGTGTGAGAGGAATAGTCTTCATCGCCGATCTTATCATGCCTGCAGAGTGTTCCGGTAAATCCAGTAGTGAAGGCGGGGATAGAAAACAAAGGGAAAGGTCGTCCTCATTTTCCCTAGATGGAGTGGATGTAGCGGGGGGGACCCAAGCCGGGTCCATGGAAGGTGATGAGGGAGTCTTTGGTGGAGACAGAGGTGGTTGAGGAACCCCCAGTACAGGCCTGACTGTAGCCTGGAGTAATGGGGGAAGCTTCACGGGAGCTGTAGGTGGGGAAGGTGCTGCTGAAGATGACGGAGCAGCCACTGCTGCTGCTGAAGATGATGGAGCAGCCACTGCTGCTGCTGTATCCACTGCTGCTGGTGAAGATGATGGAGCAGCCACTGCTGCTGCTGAAGATGATGGAGCAGCCACTGCTGCGGCTGTATCCACTGCTGCTGCTGAAGATGATGGAGCAGCCACTGCTGCTGCTGTATCCACTGCTGCTGCTGAAGATGATGGAGCAGCCACTGCTGCGGCTGTATCCACTGCTGCTGGTGGTGCTGTATATGCTGATGGCGCTGATGAAGATGTGGCAGCTGCTGATGGTGCTGGTGGTGGAGGCGTTGAGCTCTTTCGGAGCCGTGGAGGTGTTGAGTTCTTTTGGAACCTTGGAGGTGTTGAGTTCTTCTTGAATCGTGGAGGTGTGGAGTTCTTTTGAGGCGGTGGGGGTGCAGAGACCTCGGGAGTCGGTGGAGATGGTCGTGATGTCTGTGCCCTTTGCTTCTTCTTTCTCCCTTTCGACGGCTGCACGCGCTGCGCAGGCTGAGGTCTTAGGGCAGATGCAAAGTTATCCATCAGCACTTTTACTCCGTAGTTGTTCAGATGTGGGCCTTTTTCTTCAAAAAGCTCGTGCCTATTCCAGAACAGATTAAAGTTTTCAATGAAGCCAAGTCCTCTGCGTGAACACTCATTGAGTAGGAATGTGTTTAGCTGATACAGACGGCTAAACTTCTCCATTTTTCCATCTATATTTGGCAGTGGGCCACTAAAGAAAAATTGTTATGTCCATTTTCTTGAGGTCATCCAGTAACAGCGTTAAATCCATTCGTAACTTCTCGCTTGCCTTCTCATAGATATCTACCGCCCCCGTGTGGATCAATAATGTACGCACACCACTGTTCTCAGATAACACTTTAGGCAGGAGAGTTCTTATCTCAGCAACTTTAGCAGAGTGAACTGAGACAGTGAGCATGGACTCCATGTTTACATTTTTCACCGAGCCATCTCCGATAAGGACACAGTTTGTCCTTGGTGGAGGCGCTGCAGTTTTTAGCAGCTTTGTTGTAGAGACTACTGCTGATTCATCTTCCAAAAGTGGTGAAAAGCGGTTTCTTGTAATTAAAGATTTTTGCTGTGGCATTATGACACTCTTGTTATCATTAGCTTTGCCTTGTTTGGGCTTGGCACCATATGTGTTCCAACAATTGTCTCTGTTGATTTTGGGAAATGAAATAGCGTCATCATAACTTACGTTCTGTCCATGTGGTCCATTTCCTTTCACTGGTATTGTTGTGTTCAGCCCCAATTCTGATTCAAGCACAAACATTCGGTCTTGAAGAAGTTTTAGCTCCTGTTTGAGTGAAAAACAGCCGTCGCAAAGTTTTGTTCTTTCCCGTCCTCCCGACATGCTGTAAGTTAGGTAAATTCCACAAGTCTTGTGTTGAAGTTTGTAAAAAGGAGTAATCCGTGTTTTGTGGAATAAAAATGTAAGCAAAAATGATTAAAGGAGATAAAAAAGCAGCAAGCGAGGAGCAGCAAGAGAATGCGACTGCTCTGTCCAGAAGCAGGAAGCAAGTAAGTCCAGTTCCATTGTCTCTGTAGTTCTGGAACAGTCTCAGTGAAGTGTCGCAGATGAACCAGTATTATAATAGATCCATGAGATGAACAGATGAAAAAAGTCGAGCCGCTTTCTTCCTCTTCGGGCCAAATAGTGTGTCACATATTTACACCCATAACACACTTCATTCAAGTTGACGTGATCCTAACACTTTTAGTCGCTGACAAAAGCATAAAAACAGCAGCTCTATGTGGTGTCCGCGAGACCAGACCACAGACGCTGGACTCGGGAGCCGGAGCCTGTGCGCTCTGATTCGCTGTTTTGATCCGTCAATCACCTCCCGCTAGCTTTAATTTATTTTTATTTTTATTATTTTTGACAAAAAACAGCATACTAATTGTGTATTGTTTACCCCGTTTTGACAAAAGTATTTAACAACTATTTTAAATACAAAGCAAACGGGGTCATGCGCGTCATGCGCGTCATCAGTGTGGTTTTTGTCACTGAAATGGACCCGAGCGTTTCTGTGCCTCACGCTGGGGAAGGAGACAGATTGCTCTCTTACAAAAGATTGACAGAATCAATGAATAAACTACTGTGGGCTTGTGTATGAAGGCCAAATAGCATTGTAATCATGTTTAAAGCAGAGAAAAGTCAAAAACCGTGATATGGGCCCTTTAAAGATGCCCATAAAGCACATTTGATTACTATGCTTTTATACATTAATATTGTGTATGGGAGGTTACCTGTTGTTCTGAGTCTGTTGAGTACAGGGAGTAAGCAGGCTCTGGTTTAGGACATCGTCTGAAATAAATGTTAATAAACTGTATTGAAGGAAGTTGAAAATAAAACACCTGTGTTCAGCTCACCTGGTCCTGTCTGTGTGTGCTTTGCCTGTTCCCGTCAGCCTGCCCGAAGTCACCACCTTAGCACAGATTATTTTACATGTTATGTATAAAAGTAAAGTATGTGCCTTCTATAGTCTTACCTTTCTGGACATGGTGGATTCTGTGGCCTCAGTCCGGTCTAAAGTGTCAGAATGGACTCGCAGCTCGGTCAATGTGGCAGAAGATCCATGTTCAAAACCAAAACATAACATCAGTTCATATGAGGAAGCGGAAACTAAACTGACCAATGAACGAAGGGCATGAGACCAAACCCCGCCCACAAGGCACTGGCACTTCCTGCACATTACCAGGACCTTATTTTTTAATTTCAGACACCCACACCCCCGACACTCCTCTACGAAGTGCACGCAAAGGTTTGAGTGACAGGTTACAAGCAAAAAAGGCCGAATTAGGACAGTGCAGGTGACGTCATCGACTCAAGAGATGGTCATTTTCAGACCTAAACTTTATAAAAATCAAAGGTTATTCAGTTACTTCACACGTTAAAATACTTTTGTATGTTATTCGTAATGTTTTACGTTCAACTTAAAATTATACAGCTAACTTATCTGGTCAGCTTTTATTCATCTTAAGTTTATTGTACTAAGTGTGAAGTTTAAATTGAATGTTATATGAACTGTTAAAAGTTCATTTTTAACAGTCAAGATAAATTTCAGAGTCATTTGTATATTGTGAATTGTAAATATCAAATACACGTTTTACTGGAAGAAACAAATCAAGATTTGATTTATTTTTTTCACATCTCAAAACAAACATGCATTTTGTCATTATGCAGTAAAATATTTAAAACAAAACCAACTTTAACTTGTAAACTTTACACAAAGTCTTGGAAAAACATCCTTCAAACTGAACAGGACGATAGTGCTTCTATACAAAAGGACAATAAAACATTTACAGATGAACTAGCCCCAGTCCTCCTCCTCAGCAGCAGCACTCTGAGCGCTGCCGTTATCCTGGAAAGATGTGATCTGGGCGCCCTGAAACACAAGATATTTATGGATCTGTGCTTTAAACACTTTTAAAGTCATGTTTCAGGGTAATTACAGTGATCGTACCTTCCTGGAGTCTGTGGCACCAAAGCCTCTCATGGCAGGTCCTGAGGCGCCCGGTCCACTGAAGGCGTTCTCCTCTAACCACGACGGCACCTCTTGATTCGCCTGAGAACAGTTTGAGGTCACCGCGTGAGGTCACAGCGTGAGGTCAGACGTGAGGTCACAGTGAGGTCACAGCGTGAGGTCACAGCGTGAGGTCACAGCGTGAGGTCACAGCGTGAGGTCACAGCGTGAGGTCTGACGTCACAGTGTGAGGTCTGAGGTCACAGCGAGGTCACAGTGTGAGGTCTGACGTCACAGCGAGGTCACAGTGTGAGGTCTGACGTCACAGCGAGGTCACAGTGTGAGGTCTGACGTCACAGCGAGGTCACAGCGTGAGGTCTGACGTCACAGCGAGGTCACAGCGTGAGGTCTGACGTCACAGCGAGGTCACAGCGTGAGGTCTGACGTCACAGCGAGGTCACCGTACAATGTCGGACTCATGAGGTTTTCTAATCACAGACCTTGGAGAGGATGTTGATGAGAGCACGGGCCAGTTGACAGTCATTATCTTGGTCAAAGAATGAAACTGCTCTGCCCGTGTTCCCGCAGCGGCCCGTCCTCCCGATACGGTGAACATATTCGTCGATGTTGCTGGGGAGGTCAAAGTTCACCACATGCTGCACATCTGGAATGTCCAGTCCTCGAGCCGCCACTGAAGTGGCCACCAGCACCGGACACTTCCCCGAGCGGAAGTCTGCCAGCGCCTGCTCCCGCTCTCGCTGCTCCCGGTCTCTACAGATACAAAAAGTTAGTTAATGTTAAAGTTAGTTAAAGTTAAAGTTAATGTTAATGTTAAAGTTAAAGTTAATCCTTTACTCACCCATGAATACTGGTGGTGGGAACCTTCTCTTGGCAGAGAAAGGCAGCTATGAAGTCCGCTTGTCTCTTGGTCTCCACAAAGACCATGGTGCGTTCAGTTCCTTTAAATCACAAACATTTGTTTGATCCATTTTCTACATGTTTCCTTTGAAGATGTTAAGTACCTGCTGCTTTTAGAACTTCCAGGAGTTTGTCCCTCTTTGAAAACTTTGTGACCTGAGCAAACTCCTGTTGGACATCAGTACAGGCTCCTCCTACGATGCCCACAGCCAGAAATAAGTAATCTTTTTTGAGGAAGTCTGCAGCCAGTCTGAAAATGCAGATCTACATAAAGAGGCGCTCAGAGCCGCAGATTCAGTTTAATAGATTCAAACCTCTGGATGTCCTCAGGGTAAGTGGCACTGAACATCAGAGTCTGTCTGTCCTCTTTACCAGGCATTCCTGGAGAGCCCACCAGGCGGCGCATGTCTGGCTCAAAGCCCATGTCCAGCATCCGGTCAGCCTCATCCAATATTAAATACATGACTTTTGAAAGTCCAACCTAAAAACAGGCTCAGCTCAAACACAACTCTTATGTGTAAAAATCTCCATTCCACAAAACATACTTTTCCCCGGTTGATCACGTCTAAAAGTCTCCCTGGTGTTCCACACAGAACATTACATCCTCTGCACAGGTCTCGGATCTGGTGCCCAGTGCTCACTCCTCCATACACCACCACAGGTCTCACACATGTTCTGAAACACATTCATTATCAGTAATTATTGGTGCACATTTGGTCATAACAGTTTGTACCCGTGGGCAAACTTCCGAGCCTCCAGGTAGATCTGGTTGATGAGCTCTCTAGTGGGAGCCACTATGATGGCCTCAGGCTCCTGTAGCTCACTGAACTGACTGGCAGCTACTCCATCTGCCATAAACTGCTGTAGGATTGGCAGCAGAAATGCAGCCTGAACACAAGAGATAATTAATACCAAACTCAATGCATCATGGCTCTAAAGCAGACTTACAGTTTTCCCTGAGCCAGTCTGGGCACAGGCCATCAGGTCTCTGCCGGCCGAGATGATGGGGATTCCATGCTTTTGAACAGGTGTGGGTTTCACATAACCCGATTTACTCACATTTTTCTTCAGAGATTCGCACAATGCAGCCTCCTCAAAACTCTAGAAACAGAATTTAAACATATTAATCACTGGTGGCAAGAAAAAGCAACAGTGACCGACGCACCATGATTGCTTTGGGAGGGTTGGATCCACTAACTTCAACTTTGATGTCGTCGTATTTGTCAAAATTTATTCCAGATTTGTATTGGGCAAAAATAGTGTCCTCATCCTCAGGGAGGCTGGGAGGAATATACGTCACTCTTGGTCCTGTAACAAAGTAGGTTTAGACATTACACTCTGCACAGACACAATGAACCAGAGTGACTCACTTTCTTCATCTCCGGCATCATTCTTCCCTTCACCTCCTGCAAAAAGGCAGTATGGTAGTTTAAATTGTTCAAATTATGAAAACCATTACAATACCTTCTTGAGAAAATGTAACTTCATCGTTCCCTCTGTATCCTATGAGTCACATTTTTAGTTTAGTTTGAGGGGGAATGATTAAAAAGTATTTAAATGTGTAACTTACCTCCGCCGCCTCGACCTCCTCGCTCACCACCTTAGGAGACATTTTGCATCAGACAAAGTTATAAAAACAAATCTTACCCAAGTTACCTCCCCGGCCTCTGCCTCCTCGTCCGCCTCTGAAGCCTGTTCACAAACACAAACTCACAATTCTGTCGAAAAGATCATTTATCTATGCATCCATTACCATTTTCGTCTCCGTCATTGTCTGCGGGGGAAGAAATACATGTGAATACAATTAGATATAATGCTCGATAACAAATTACCATTAAAATCTCCATTGTCCGTCCTGCCAAACCCACGGCCTGTTCAAAAGCAGATGTTAACATAAGATACTGGTGCTCTTCAAACTCAGGGCTTTACCTCTACCGCCTCTGCCACGGAATCCTCCTCTGTCACTTTTGTTCCATCCACCGCTCTCTGATAAAAAAAGGGAGTGATAACTTTATATTCCATCAAAACAACATCTCTGCACTCACCGTCTGTGTTCCCATTCTCGTCTCCATCTGTAAATACATTGGATTTTTAGAAAAGTTAACGTTAACACTTGTCATTATTAGCATTTACCATTGAATGATTTGAAGCCACCCCTCCTTCCTCCTCTGCCCCCACGGCCTGAAGTGGAACCATTTTAAATGCACAGTTGAGACAAAGGATTCACAAAATTACATCTTAATCTCACCTCGCCCAGAATCCCCACCATTGTTGTTCCAGAAATCCTTTTTAGAGTCTAACAAAAAACAGGTAAAAAAATATAGCTCAAGTAAAAAGTTCTCAGTTAATAAAACAAGCGGCCAAACCTGTGTTGGCCTGGCTTGAAAAGAATGATGTGTCTGAGGTAGTTGTAGAAGTCTATGGGGAAGAAAACAAGGAAACATTGATACCAGTTACATCTCTATGAAAAACCAGCTTACCTCTTCCTCCCATTCGTCAGCCATGGCTCTGAAATCAGAATTATTGAAAGAAAAGAAAAAGTCAACATTAACTTTGATAACACAGCACTCTCAGAATTCTCAAACTACTAAGACTCCCAGAAGTGACATTTAGATGCCAGTAAGGGTAATTGAAATCTTTGAAATTCCCCCAAAAAGTTTAATTTTCCCCCAGATTTATTAAAAGCTGATAATTTAATGGATGTATTTATTTTACTGGCTCTACACAAAAAAACAGAAGAACAGTTTAATGGAAAATGCTAACTAACTGCATAGTTAGGTCACTCAACAAATAAAAATCTAATTATTGCAGATACATGCAGAAAAGTCAACGAAGGGAAGACCAGTTGTCCACGGGCCAAACCATTAAATCAAATATAAAAAAAGCAGTAAAATTGACCCTGGGAGTTCTTATGTTAATGCACTGAAGGAGCTACTAACAGGTGCGCACGTGAGGATGCTAACATTTAGCTAGCCCAACCACGTGTGCTTAGCTTCGCACTTTTCTTACAATTAAGAGTTCCACTTTTCTGTTAGGGAAAGAAATTACAATAACACGTTCAAACTATTAATTCAGGACATAAAAACGGACATGAAAGAAGCTTCCTTTGGGTTCATGCGAGTTCCTGAGGGTTCCGCCAACGAGCACTAAATGAGTGCAGCTAAAACTCGCGCGTGGTTCTGTCCAATTGTTCAGAATTCAGTTTAAAAAACAGCCGAGACTAAGACAATTATTTAAGTTACATAACAACAAAGTCAATTACTTACATATGTATCAACTGGTCCTTTTATAGATTAGTGAAGAACAGACTTCGGCAGCCGTCGGAAGAAACTGAAAGATAGAACTTTCTCAAAGGCGGTCAAGTGACTGGGCCACGGCCCACGAGGACGGGCCCTGCGCAGACTTTCGTCCAATCACAGACTCCAGAGCTTTGATTGATTTATCTATCCACCAATCGGAGCGGCCTCAACGCTATGGCGTTTTCGTGGATTATTCGCCCTGCACATTCATTCACGGAAATTATTTAAAAATATATATTTTATTTTACAAATATAAGTTGTACATAAAACATGTGAATATAATGAATAGTATACTTTTAGTATGTATTTAGCAGTATTTTAATGAATTATCATGACTTTGATCCATAGACGTAAATTTGATCTTGGCATAACAACGCATTCTTTTTCCCTCTACATTTTAGAGGACACACGTCTTGATAAATGTGCCAAAAGACGTGTATTTATTTTCTAAATATTGACAGTTGTATGTAATTGTAGTCCTTTTCGTTAATGGGCCATGGCTTTGACATGTTCCCACTGTGGGATAAAGAAAGTTTCCCTTATTTTATCTGATCTTACCTTTATTAATTATGTAAGCCTTGCAGTGTCTATCAGTCTTGTTCATTGTACTGTCTGACAGAAACCTGTTGAACCTCTCCTTCAGAGTGCTGCAGGAATCCAAATAAAAAAGTGCGTCCCAAATTGGGGTCCTCTGAGGCACTTCAGGGGGTTTCCATATATCAATAAAGTAAATCAATATGTATTATATTTATGGATTTTAGATAGATATTTAGATTTCTGACTGTAATTATAGTTCTTGGGGGTGCTGACTCCAGTCCAGAGAGTCCGGTCCGGGCCCATAAAGAACCATCGGGCTCCTGCCGATCACCGCGCTGCATTGTGGGACGTGAGCTGCTGCTGGAGTCAAGATGGCGGTTCACCTGAGACGGGGCGAGGAGCCTGGTTTAGCACAAGGCCGTGAATGAAGTTTATAACCGCGGCTGATCCATACCCCCGGCTGTCCTGGAGCCGAACGAACCCCGAGCTGTGACCGAGACGTGTGCACACAGCAGCGGACCCCCCGCCCCCCAAAACCACCACAACAGCGGATAAAGTCGTATGAATCCCGACGAGAAGGAGGACTGTGAGTGTGCGCCACCACAGGCCCAGCTTAGCCCCACCAGAGGAGACCTGAGGTGGGCTACGCGGCAGGAAAGCGCGGGGATTCAGGGCCTCCCCGAGAGATGCTATCCACATCATAGCTGCTGTCATTGCTCTGTCATTTTAGATAGCATGGACCTAAAAGCAACGATATATGCTCTCATGGAGCTGTGTTTATGGACCTAGGTTAAAAATCATACCACTGTTGATTCAAAACTATTGGTAATTTAATGCAATATTGTGAGATATTGGCGAGTTGAGCGTTTGGGTGTCTGCTGCAGATAATGTCAGGAGACAGCCTGATATGTCCTGATATGTCCTTGCTACATTGCCTCCCAATTCTTGTTTTTGAAAGAGAAAGTGATGCAATGAATGATTGTCATTTTATACTCTCTTGCATGGTGTTGATCCCTCACACAAATGTCTTGTGTTTATAGAGAAAACGAGGAGTCTGAAAACGAGAACCCAGAAGCAAGCCGAATGTAAGTAGCACTTGTCTTGTGCCATCTCTATTTTGTCTCAACAGTTTCACTTCCTGTATTGTTGATCTCCAGAGAACAGATTTATTACCATTTTACAATCCTGAATGGAGATTGTGTATGTGGACTTGAATGTTACTTTCAGTTTGTCGAAACAAACTAAAGTGACTATAGTAATAGATTTAAGCCTTGTGAAGTGATTCATAGATTTGTTAAAGTCTCTCAAAGCACTGCATTATTCATTCGCTCCATTTATGGCGGTGATAAACAAACTACTGTAGCCTCTGCTTTGCCTTTACCACTGCAGTGTGGAGAGGACGAAAAAGGACTGAATTGTAGCGCCTCGACAGAGTTTGGAAGTGAATGGAATTCTTTATTATTGCTAGTTTAACTCGACCTGTTGTTGTTTTATATAATAACTGATATTGTCTTTTAAGTGCTTCTGAATGGTGAGGGCTGATTCTTGTGTTTTCCGAACAGGAAGCGAGCAGCTGCCAAGCACCTCATAGAGCGCTACTACCACCAGTTAACGGAGGGCTGTGGGAATGAGTCGTGCTCCAACTCGTGGTGCGCGTCATCGTTGGGGTTCAGCCGCATGGACAACAACGCGGCGGCGGTCAAAGCGCTGGAGCTTTACAAGGTCAACGCCAAGCTGTGCGACCCCCACCCGTCCAAGAAGGGCACGGCGTCCGCCTACCTGGAGGCGCACGGGAACCAGGACAGCAACAGCAAAATGAACAACAAGGACAACCACTCCGTCAGGGACAACTTCAAAGGTGAGGACCACATTTATGGATAAACTGACTTTTACATTTACAAGTGAAACATGATAATATTGTGTAATATTTCTGTAATTAATATGCACTATAGACTCACAACATGAAAAGCTACTTATGTCAAGTCTTATTTGATTATGGCTTACAGTCCATTGTTTTATTTGGAGTGTTTGAGCTTAGTGCCAATTGTCAACCTTATAATTAAAAATAGGTTATATTTATCTCACTTTGTAATGAGTCCATTGTTTATATGCTTCACATTCTATGCGGAAAGTAAATTTGAACATTTAGGGTTTTCTTTTGGTTCACCTGTACTCATTAAACCACATAAATGTCAGGTTGTTTAGATAAAAAAAAAATATCAATCCCAGTTTGCCTTTTGTCCCTGCTTGCATTATAGTAAGACTCTATGTAACTAAATTCTCCATAAAGTATTTGCTGATCAATCTTTTAAAAAAGTAGTTATTTTCCTTAATGTTGTTAAATGTGTTTAGAGGTCGCATACTTGACAGAAGAGAAGATCTACGAGATCCTGGACATATGCGGCGAAAAGGAGGACTACTCTCCCCTAATCCGCGTCATCGGCCGGGTCTTCTCCAGCGCCGAGGGCCTGGTGCAGAGCTTCCGCCGCTCCAAGCCCCACACGAAGGAGGAGCTCAAGTCGCTCCAGGGCAAGGACGAGGACAAGGACGAAGACGAGAAAGAGGCTGCAGCGTGCTCTGCCGTGGCCATGGAGGAAGACTGTCCCTCCGGCTCCGGCTTGTCCTCGTCGGCTCGAGACGGGACGGAGACGCGCAGAATCTGGGCCCGGACGAGGTCTCGGTGGACGTGGAGGCCGTGCGGCGCGTGTACGAGCGCCTGCTGTCCAACGAGAAGATCGAGGCCGCCTTCCTCAACGCACTGGTCTACCTCTCGCCCAACGTGGAGTGCGACCTGACCTATCACAACGTCTACTCCCGCGACCCCAACTACCTGAACTTGTTTGTAATAGTCATGGAGAACAGCAACCTCCACAGTCCCGAGTACTTGGAGATCGCTCTGCCGCAGTTCTGCAAAGCCATGAGCAAACTCCCGCTGGCGGCGCTGGCCAAGCTGGTGCGCCTCTGGTCCCACTACACGGCCGAGCAGATCCGGCGCATGGTGGAGACCTTCCAGCAGCTCATCACCTACAAAGTCATCAGCAACGAGTTCAACAGCCGCAACCTGGTGAACGACGACGACGCGGTGGTGGCGGCGACCAAGTGCTTAAAGATCGTCTACTATGCAAACGTCCTGGGCGGCGACCTGGATGTGGAGCACAACGAGGACGAGGACGAGGAGCCCATCCCGGAGTCCAGCGAGCTGACCCTGCAGGAGCTGCTGGGGGAGGAGCGGAGGAACAAGAAGGGGCCGAGGGTGGATCCGCTGGAGACGGAGCTGGGGATCCGCACCAACGACTGCCGACGGCCGCTCGTGCCCTTCGAGGAGTTCATCAACGAGCCGCTGAACGAGGTGCTGGAGATGGACAAGGACTATACTTTCTTTAAGGTGGAGACGGAGAACAAGTTTTCCTTCATGACGTGTCCTTTCATCCTCAACGCCGTCACCAAGAACCTGGGCCTTTACTACGACAACCGGATCCGCATGTACAGCGAGCGGCGCATCACGGTGCTGTACAGCCTGGTGCAGGGCCAGCAGCTCAACCCGTACCTGCGGCTCAAAGTGCGCCGCGACCACATCATCGACGACGCGCTGGTCCGGGTAAGGCACTGCAGTCTTTTTATTTAATGTAAAAAGCTCATTATGACATTTGTTTAATGCTTTAGGTTGTTATTACTAAGACAGTAATCTAAAGAAGCTAAGGCTGCTTAATTACTGGCACTGTCTTCTTTACACTTTCTTCTCATTCACAAAACCTTGGCTTCTAAGCATTAAGTGTATTTAATTTTAAGGATTCCAGCTTTTTTGTGGTGTTTTTATCTTTTCCTAAATTGCAATGTGATCAAGCTAGTTTCTTGTAACTAGGAAAATGTCAAATGTCTTCAAACCAGTAGGAAATCTCTCCAAACTAGAGGTGGACACATTTTTTTTTTTTTCAGATAATAGTTAATAACGATTTATAACTTGCAGTAAAAGTGCTACAGCAGAATTTGAAATTTCATCCAAATTAAGTTCCATTAATTTAGACTTTTGGGCACATTTACAGAGATTACGACTGTTACATGCTGTTGTGCAGTGGACTGAAAAGTTTGAGTTGAGTTGGATCATTGTTTGTTTCTACAGGTGGCTGGACTAGACTAATAATTTAAGGTAAAAATCTGAAAACTGATCAAATTGACGTGGGCTCTCGGTGCCAATATTTGGTCAGCCTCTTACTTCAAACCATTCAAAAATCTGTTCGAGTGGCAAAAGCTGCATTAACTGGGTACAGCCGAGCTTAACAATACTTTAATTCATTTTTTGCAGTGTACTTGTAGTCTTGTGGATGGACTACACTGCATTTGTGAGAAAGGGCAGTCAACGTATTTCAATAAGAATTATGTCTAGACTTTAAATAATATTTTGCTGGTTGAAAATCTCTCGGCCGTTGTTCATTTAGACGTACACAGATCCAAAGTTTAGGTGACTACTTTATTTACTATTGTCTTTGGCACTCCAGGTGAGTCTTTATGATAAATGTACAGAATGCTATATGTTTTTAAATTATGCACGACATGTGTGTAGCTGGAGATGATCGCCATGGAGAATCCTGCAGACTTGAAGAAGCAACTATACGTGGAGTTTGAAGGAGAACAAGGCGTGGACGAAGGCGGCGTCTCCAAAGAGTTCTTTCAGCTGGTGGTGGAGGAGATCTTCAACCCAGACATCGGTGAGAACACACTCTGAGCACACACTCGGGCCGTCAGGGTTTGGGCGACTCATCAGTCAAGGGCTTCCCAGTTATCTACAATCTGTATGGATTATTCTATTGTCTGCTTCTTCTTATAAATCCTTGAAAAGATTCAGTTTCTTTGCCATTTAGTAAAGAGAACCCCAGTGTGTACCACATCAGATAAAACAAGTAAATAATGTGAAAATTAATACCAATTCAGATTCATTTATTTGCCATTTGCAGTAAAACCACATAGGAAAAACTGTGCAAGACTACCCCAGTGTGCACCAGACGACATTTTATGAAGTTTTTAAGCGTATCGCGGATACAAGCGGTCGAAATGAGCTTCCTCCGCAGAGTGGCTGGGCGCTCCCTTAGAGATGGAGAAGCTCAGTCACACGGGAGGAGCTTGGAGTAGAGCCGCTGCTTCTCCAAGTTGAGAGGAACCAGTTGAGGTGGCTCGGGCATCTGTTCCGGATGCCTCCTGGACGCCTCCCTGGGGAGGTGTTCCGGGCACGTCCCACCGGGAGGAGGCCCCGCGGAAGACCCAGGACACGCTGGAGGGACTATGTCTCTCAGCTGGCCTGGGAACGCCTTGGGGTCCCCCCGGATGAGCTGGAGGAAGTGTGTGTGGATAGGGAAGTCTGGGCGTCTCTGCTTAGACTGCTGCCCCCGCGACCCGGCAACAGATGAAGTGGAAGAAAATGGAATGAAGTTTTTAAGCCATTTGTGTTCCATAGTTTTCTATAGTAGTTGTTCAGCTTCATAACTAGCTTTTGTAACGGCCCCTCTTAGTCAACCAATGGACTGACAAGTTTTCAGCCCTGGTCCAGGCCGCGGCGGTAAGGCTAACCCACACTGTGTTTCAGGCATGTTCACGTACGAGGAGCGCACGCGGCTCTTCTGGTTCAACTCGTCGTCCTTCGAGAACGACGGCCAGTACACGCTGATCGGCATCGTGCTGGGCCTCGCCATCTACAACAACTGCATCCTGGACGTGCACTTCCCCATGGTGGTCTACCGGAAGCTCATGGGAAAGAAAGGCACCTTCAGGGACCTGGCCGACGCCAATCCTGTAAGAAAGTCTCTATTTTTATGGCAGTGCTGAGGATGTTTTTGATCACATGGTGCCATAACAATTGTGAATGTACCCATTTTCCAAATATGTTGTGTTTTGAATTTGTCTATGAATCTTGTAAAGTCTTATGCAAATCTCTTAGACTAAAGTCTGATTCCCCCTAAGCAAAAACACGACGATTGTTCCTCCAACTGTCAATCATTCTGAATACACGTGCATGAGTTTTTTCCAGAGAGAGTGGTTCTTTCTTAAATTTGGGAAAATAATCTCGTACCTTTTTAAGTAAACATTAAAATCCTGGCTAATCACAGTAGCTTTAAAAAGGAGAAGACTAAGAGTGGGCGTCTTCCAGGTTTTGCACCAGTCTCTGAAGGAGCTGCTGGAGTACGAGGGCAGCGTGGAGGACGACATGATGATCACCTTCCAGATCTCTCAGACCGACCTGTTCGGAAACGCACTCATGTACAACCTTCGGGAGAACGGAGACAAGATCCCGGTCACCAACGACAACAGAAAGGTGATTCTTCTACACAAACGCAGATCGGCAAAACGCACACGTAATGTCTAACCGTCCTGTCCTCCCCCAGGAGTTTGTGTCCCAGTACGCAGACTATGTCCTGAACAAAAGTGTAGAGAAACAGTTCAAAGCCTTCAGGAGAGGTTTCCATATGGTCACGAACGAATCACCGCTGAAGTACTTATTCAGACCGGAGGAGATTGAGCTGCTCATCTGTGGAAGCAGGGTAAGGATCCAAGCCCCTTTTATTCTCTTTTATTCTCTTTTTATCCTTCTTATGTGTTCTCCGGCTTTGTCTCTGCAGAACCTCGACTTTCTAGCACTTGAAGAAACCACAGAATATGACGGTGGTTATAATAGAGATTCAAGGATTATCAAGTAAGTGGGACTTCAACGTTTTGGTGCCGTTGTAGCAGAATGGCTCTGACCTGCATTGACACGTTTCCCAAACATTTTAATTCCCTTTTTTCTTTATTTTTTGCAATTTTGTTGTATTGATTTTAATAGTATCATCTTTGTTGTAAAGTTCCAGGGCTTAGGACCTTTTATGTTTCACATCTCAAAAAAGCTATGGGCATAGCTTCTCGATGTAACAGTTTATATATGCAAATGTTATAAACACAGGATCATAGTGTGTCAAACCAGATTTTTAAGCCCAAATTGTGTGACACCCACAGTCACTGAGCTAGAGGAGTTACACTAAACAACAAATACTTTTTTTAACTCACAAACTGCATAAATATGTTTCTTATTGTGCTCTCTGCACTAAAATGTCAAAAGAATGAGCAGAACATGTAAATTAGACAAAATATCAGGCGCGTGTAGACCACCAGAGGGAGCCCAAGAACCACAGTTTGGAAAACGCTGCTTTAGTAAACTGAGTGATTGTGTTGGATTTAGTTCTCGGTCGTCGGACTGACCAGGAGTGAAACAATGTATGATTTATGATAATTGTGACGTCATCAGTGGATCTAAGACAACTGTTTTTTTTTTTTGCACCATATTCCGCCGTTGATGATTGTTTCCATGGTGACAGGGAGTTCTGGGAGACGCTGCACTCGTTTGGAGAGGAGCAGAAGCGTCTGTTTCTACAGTTCACCACCGGCACCGACCGAGCCCCGGTGGGCGGCCTGGGCAAGCTCAAGATGATCATCGCCAAGAACGGCCCCGACACGGACAGGTCCGAGCACTGGTCTTACCTCTGAGCTACAGTTAAAGCTGGGGTACCTAATTTTAAACCACACAAAGATGGCCAATCATCAAAACCTAACCCTGGCTCAAAACAGTTTGGTTCTGTCGTTTTGACATGTCTGTGTTTGTCTGTGTGTCTGCTTTCATCTAATAACAGGATAAAAACTCTGCACCTCCTCCTGGTGGCAGAGTAGGGATAGGGCGGACTGATAGAATTTACCTTTAGCTGCATAATGCTGGTGCCAAGTCTGGACTAAACATGGGGGCGTTTCAGATTCATGCAAATAAAATCTGGAACAGTCTTCCTGAAAATGTGAGCCAGGGTTAGTGTTTAAATCCAGGTTAAAAACTGTTTAGTTTAGCTGCAACTGAAGGATTGTATCTCAAAGGTATATGGGAGGGATTTCTTCCAGGTGGATCATCTAAACTATTGTTCCTCCTAATTGTCAGTCATGTCGGTGACTTCGGAGACTTGATAAGAGGGCGGTTCTTTCCTAAGATTAGTGAAAATCCTCCTAAATACTCTTTATAGCACTGCGATTATGTCAAGCACTTTAGAGTTGCCTTGTGTATGAAATGTGCTATACCAATAAATGTAACTGTCATTCTAAACCGCAGATTACCCACGTCCCACACCTGCTTCAACGTGCTGCTGCTGCCGGAGTACGACAGCAAGGACAAGCTGAGGGAGAGACTGCTGAAAGCCATTACCTATGCCAAAGGGTTTGGTATGCTCTGAGCCCCCCCCCCCCATCCCAGCGCGCTTCAAACACCCCCTCCGCCCTTTACCAGCCACAGAGCAACCCGGGGGAGGGTGAGGGGGAGTCCAGCCTGAAGGAGCAGCTCTACGGTGCCTGTCCCCCCCCCCTTCCAGTCATCGGAAGCACAGATCCGAACCCCCCCGAATGTGCCGCCGCCCTTCTGTACAGCGTCATTACACAGGATTATTTATTGTTCGCGGTTTGTTTTCGGGTACACTGTGTAGAGAGCATCCATTTCCATCTCGCCACGTCGCCCCCTCCCTGACTACGGTGGCCACGAGGAGCCAAAGTCGCCCATGTCTAAACGAATGAAGCAAATGTGAAACTTAAAAGAGTACGCTCGATTCAATGTGACCATAAATATTTACATACACACATTGATCCATCAGTTTTGAATTGACCACATTTGTTTTTATCGACCCCAAATTGAACGGGGCATCAACCCCTTAGGTGCCAAAGTAGTCCAGGACTCTTTCTGTTCAGTGATTTGCCTTCTCACTAATATATCCCGACATTTTCCTGACATTATCATCTTATGTGTCATTTCATTATTGGTTAAAGTAGTCCACTACCTCTTAAGCTGGCTGCCTAAAGGGTTAATCCGAGGTCTGGACGTGAGGCAGACTTTGTCACATTGACAACGGTAACACTGTCTGATGAGATATATTTTATTGCAGTTACTGATTTGTGAGGAGCGCTGCTGTTGGACTGTATTCATGAGTATTTCCTTTTTAAACACAGCCTTCAGTCGATAAAGATGCTTTGGTTAAAAAAACAGATGAAATCGAATGTTCTGTTGGGTCCTGGTTCCTGAGTGGCCACCTGCTTGTCCCAATGACGATAGTGTCTGGAATATTGTACTTGATTGAATAACACTAAGACGCCCAGAATTCTGAAGCTACTAGTGCTGCTCATAATGCACCCTAGAATTCTGAAAAATCTTCCCCGAAATTGCTTAATGTTCCACAAAAATGATTTATACAGTTTTTATTTTCATTTTAAACCTTTTACTTTACTGTTAATAAAACTTTAAATACAGCAAAACACGTTTTTGTACCAAAATGCTAAGTCCTGATAGCAAACAGTAGGTTGCCATGGTTACCAAGCTAACACCGGTCAACCAGGACCAGTCCAGAACCAGCACCATGAAGTAGGGGCCTTAACTGCCACAGAAAGATGGTTACCAAGCAACCAGAAATGACTTATAAAGGGTTAAAATATTTCCAAAACGTGATATAAAACCTACAGAGTGCACGTGTGTGTCTGTGTAGGATAAGTTATGAAGGGCAAATATTTACATTTTCTGAGTACTGGGAGTGTTGTCATTGAGAGAAGCAGGCCCCAGAACGGTCTATAGTTGCAGCTGCTCTTGGCCACCGTACGCTTCGAATCCCATCGTTCTGGATCTTTCCTTTTCCTTTGTTTTTGCACCGACTCTCGTCAGAGGACGCCTCGTCGCCCGTTCTGGAGGAGACTCTGAAAAGTGCACTTACAACATTTCCTTCTGAATGTTCTTTAGGTCACAGGTTGCCACAACAGCTTTTGTCTTCCTGTGTTCTGAACGAAACGCTCTTTAAGATTCTCAAAGTGCCACTGGAGCGAGGAGTTCCATTTTGGGTCAGAAGACGTTCGTAATGGTCATTCCAGGATTAGGATTTTTTGTTATTCCGTAAAAATGCATTACAATTAGGCTGAAAGATTGTCCAGAAATGGGAAAATGACTCTTATGGTAATCTTAACGTGTGTGGCAATGGGTTGGTGCCATATTAAATACTGTCGATACAAACAACAAAAATCCAATCCACTTTTGGCTTTTTTGGGTTTTGTTTTTGTTGTCGTCACACTCATTCTTCATTAGTTTTAGAAAAGCCTTTTTATGCTCCTGAGATTATGAAAACTCATGTTTGGGTGCCTACTGGTTGGACTACAGTGAGGCCCTTGCTGTAATGGAAAATGTAGGTCTCTTTCAGCTAATTTTACAGGGATTCTTTAAAAAGGGTAATTATGTTTTACGGATCTATGGGGGCTCCACACAACTGTACACAAAGATGAAGTTCCTCTGTCTTCGCCAACAAACGCCACTCTACGGGATCAAGTTTTCCCCAAAAAGCTTCTGTCATAAGCCTTGTTAGCTGTTTATTTCACAGTAATGGAGCGTGTGTAGCTGAGACATGAGCCGCAGAGGCATCGAGCGGGAAAGACCTCAAACCACTATTTCACGATTCCCTGAGCCATCGTTTCTGTATCATGCACTTATTCCAACTGGGTCTTTGTCTGTTTTTTTGTTTTTGGTTGTTTTATTTAAACCCGGTTTATGATTTTCGCAATGGCACGGACTGCGCTTGGGACACTGGATCGTCAAAGCGTTTTTAAAGAAGGGCGTGGCGTTCGTTAGCGGGTTAGCACGTGGTTAGCATCTTCCACGGAGCCAGGGTTTGTGGCTTTTTCTCCCGGTATCGACGTATCTCGGCCAGAACTTTGTTTTTCTTTTTCGGACTGCCGAGATGCTGCACACGCCTCGGACACATGTGAACGGACTCTTGAGCCTGGTTGAGGTCAGAGGTCAGCCGGGGAAAGGGAAGCGGTTTGAGTTCTCAAACAGTAATGGACGGCGCTAACTATTCAGTGTTGTGAAAACATGCTCAATAAAGATGACTGCTTTTTCCAATCTGCTTTTTATCCTTTTTCTTCCTCAGAACATGCACTAAGGTAAATCACAGCATAAGGGCTAGCAAGAAATTGGAATCGTCCTGGATTTCTCAGTTTTAAAAAACCACAATCCCTGGATGTGCTCCCACACTGCTCAATATAAACCTTTTCAAATCTAATTCAGTAGAATGGCCTTGTTTTACACACATCCTGTTGATCACGGTATAAAGTATGCAGCAGGGTTTTGGCCCCGTATTACAGTGAGAATGTATTGTCCCCATAAAGGAAAATGTCCTTTTGCATTTGACCCATCCCAGGGCCTCAGTCAGGAGCAGTGGTCGCTGCACAGGGGCCCATATCCAGATGTTGATGCTCTGCTTGATCAAGACACAAGAGCTGGAGTTTTCCCATGATTGAAGAGCCACGTTATTAACTATCGTGGCTGTTAGTAATGTTATAAATGTTGATGGGTGTTTGCCAGCTGGCAGTGGGCTAACCACTCAGCCATCGTTCCGTCCAATTTGAAAAATTCAATGCTGTTGATGCATTTCTATTTTATTTTTTTAAATGTATTTTCTGTAATTCTGTCCATAAACACCATGAACAGAACCGGTGACAAAGGGCAGCCCTGGCATAGGCCAACACCGGACAGGGACCGGACGGCCCTCAGCAGAGGACCCCCCCAAAGGACACCCCGGGGAACACAGTCGAACGCCTTCTCCAGATCCACAAAGCACATGTGGACAGGTTGGGTGAACTCCCATGATCCTGGATTATCTGATGGAGAGTGTGGAGTAACCACACTGCTCCTCCTGAATCTGAGATTGGACCATCGGCCGAAGTCTCCAGTTCCTTGGAGTCGACCTTACTGAGGCTGAGGAGTGTGATCCAAACGGAACCATGAGTCTATACGATGAAACCAACCTGTGACTCTCTTCTCTGTGGCTTTTATGTGTAGTTTTAATATCCTGAAATGTCACACTCCTTTTGAGAACCACTGCTCTTGATAAATACAATGACACATTTGTACAGTACATTTTAATGTAGTCTTGCAGAAGCACAGTTAACTTTTTTATTCATGTATTTAAATGTTTTATTATGTATGAGAAAGCGCAGCCTATGAAAAGATGATTTATATTATGATTGATTATATATATATATATATATATATATATATATATATATATATATATATATATATATATATATATATATATATATATATATATATATATATATATATATATATATATATATATATATATAATCATATATATATATATATATATAATCAATCATAATATATATATATATATATATATATATATATATAATCATATATATATAATCATATATATATAATCAATGTATAAATCCAATCTAATTTCCTGATTTCCTGAAACTTTAAATATGAACCCTACACCAAACAATGACATTTTAGAGACCAGCAAACCACACCCAAACACAATGTTCATCGTTTCAGAAGATCGCTGATCTTGTACAACATACAGTAATTCCATTTATGTTTATATTCAAAATAATCTATATTTGTTAATGTTTTATTTCTGTTCATCCGCAACCACAGGGTTAAATATTGTTAAATTGACAAAGTCCTCTGCGATCACTGCTGGTGTGAATTAGGGCCATACAAATGAACTGAATGAAATAGACTTGAAGAGCCGCTGATCAGTTATAGTCGATGTCTGAGCGCAGTGTGCGGACTTGGTTGCTCATGTTGGTGAGCCGCTGCTTCAGCTTCCTCTGTGACGACTCGTACTGGTTCTCCAACTTCTTCAGCTTCAGCATCATGACGTCCACACTGGCCTCCATCTCGCTCACCTTATTCTCCAAGTCCTTGGCGTCTGTGGCTAAAACCAGAGCCTCGTCGATCAAGTTATCCTTCATCAAGATGGCCCTGCCTTTGTCCTCCAGCGCGTATTTAGCTTCTGGATACTCAACCAGCGCGTCCATGAGGTCTTCTTTGGACAACGCAAACAAGTCGGAATATCCTACACTGCGGATATTGGCTGTTCTCCGGTTTCCCGCCTTGCTCCCTTTGATTCCGAGAATACTAATTTCTCCAAAGTACGCTCCATCGCCAAGAACGACAAACTGTGTGACGCCGTCGTCCGCTACAACCGCTAGCTTACCCCCTTTAATGATGTACATTTCTCGTCCGATGTCCCCCTTTTTACAGATGTAGTCGCCGGGGCTAAAAACCTGTGGTTGAAGTTTGAGAACCAACTCCACGAGCAACCCCGCTTCGCAGTCTTGAAAAATGCGCACTTTCCGTAGCGTCTCGAGATGGACGTTGATGGCTATTTCGGCCTTCAGTTTGTCCGGGAGGTTTTTCAAGACTAGCTTTTCGTCGCACGTTTTTCCCTCTGTCCACAAATAGTCGAACCACTTCACGACTCTGTACTCTAACTCTTTGGAGACCTTTCGGAACTGCATGTACTGCTTTATGGAGTCGATCTTGGCCTGGAATTCCACCCTCGCCACGCTCATGTTGGAGATCATGGCACCGACGTTACCCACGATTGTTGCGAAGATAAGGACGCCGGTTAAAAAGTCACATACAACAAAGAAATATTCAAAGTCCCGGACAGGGGGCGGCGTTTCTCCAATCGTCGTCAACGTAAGCGTGGACCAGTAGAAGCAGTAGATGTATTTACGAGCCAGGCGGCCAAATTCTGGGTTTTTATCAGCGGTAGGATAGACCCACGTGTCCGAACCGAAGCCCAGGACTTTGGAGACGGCGTAGTAGAGGCAGCCGTTCCAGTGGATGATGATGATGATGTAGCCGACCAAGTTACCGATTCGGAAGATGTTGGGGAAGTTGGTGCGGGTCTCGGTGCGGTCGAAAAACTCAAAGAGGCGGGACAATCGTAACAGGCGGTTGAATCTCCACTCGGGGTTGTCCACTCCCAGGTAGATGAAGACGAGGTCCGTGGGGAGGACAGAGAACACGTCCAGCTTGAACTGACGGGTTTTAATGTACCGCTCCTTTAAGATTTTGGGGTCCCTCACCAGAAGACCCTGCTCCAGATAACCTGACCAGCATAACAAATAAGGAATTGAATCACAAATGTTCAAAACACACAAATATCAACACTTTTCTGATACACACACCCACATAATCCACCCTTTCATCTCATGGAGCCAGACTGTGGAAAGCTCTTCCCACTGCCAAAAACTACAGACTTCTGGTAAAACATCTTTACCAGAAGTCTGAAACTGTGGTTAAATCGGAGCAACGTGTTTAACGAAAAGTGCATTTATCTATTTTTTTATTTTTTATATTGAAAAGTGCGCATTTATGTCAGAAGCAGTGGGGGCGGGTCCCAAAATGACGTGCGCTGACATGCTGCAGTACCACCCCGGGCCTGTGGGGGTGGACCCAGAATAAGAATTAGCCAATGCTAACATATAGCATTAGCAGACCTCTCAAACGTCTTTACAGGATGGTCCAAAAGTGGCTCTTGGCCCAAAGCTCCGTTCCACATGTGTGTCAATGCTGAGTGTTCTGGACCAGTCTAGTTTAGTCGCTGTGGACTTTAGAAGTCTCTCGTTTAAATGAATGGAGCTCGTGCAACTGACGCATGCACAGATGTGTTTTTTCACATTTTCCAGCCCTCACGGCCATTTTGAATCACTCCATGAAAGCCCAATGTTTGGCCCATTTGTTAGAACGGCGGAGATAGGCGTGACTACGTCTGTTTATATTTACAGTCTATGGTCACATCTAGAAAATGAGCATGGTCTTGCTAAAACACTAAAGGCAGTGCATCTGGTCTGTCCAATGTCACTATTGTGTCCACATCGAATAAATAAATAAAAACACATACACACAGACATATACAGTGCCTTGCGAAAGTATTCGGCCCCCTTGAACCTTTCAACATTTCGCCACATTTCAGGCTTCAAACATTATTTTTGGTCATGAATCAACAACAAGTGGGACACAATCGTGAAGTGGAACGAAATTTATTGGATAATTTAAACCTTTTTAACAAATAAAAAACTGAAAAGTGGGGCGTGCAATATTATTCGGCCCCTTTACTTTCAGTGCAGCAAACTCAGTCCAGAAGTTCAGTGAGGATCTTTGAATGATCCAATGTTGTCCTAAATGACTGATGATGATAAATAGAATGCACCTGTGTGGGAGCACATAACTCCGGTGTTAAAATCACTCCACTGGCTCCCTGTGGAGTACATAATAAAGTTTAAAATCCTACTCTTAACATATAAAGCCATAAATGGCTTGGCTCCCTCTTATCTCCAAGACACGTTAGTGTCGTATCAACCAGGTCGAGCGTTGCGCTCACAAAACGCCAGACGTCTGGTGGTTCCTAAGGTCTCAAAGGTCACTGTTGGCGGCAGAGCATTTAGCTCCAAGCTCCTTTACTGTGGAATCAGCTTCATTTATGTTAAGGAAGCAGATACGGTCTCCACATTCAAGGCCAGGCTTAAAGCACTCTACTTTTGTATTGTAAATTGTATTGTACTTTAATTTAGCATATAATTAGGTAATATATAATATATGGTGTATATATTATATATATATGCTGTATTATGTTATATATTATGTTATATATTATTCAATAATGTATTGTGTTATGTTGTATATTATGTTATATATTATGCTGTATGTTATTCTTTATTCAAGGCTAGGTTTAAAACAGTCCTCTTTAGTTTAGCATATGGCTAGGAAGGTAAGACTCGGAGAAGGTTAAACTCCTCAGAGTGTTAGTCAAGCTGCATAGGGCGCCCCCTGCTGGAGAAGTATGGTAACTTGAGCACTATCCTCTCCTCCTTCCTACTTTATCTGTTTAGCATTTTTAGGATTCTGACTGTAGTTTGTTCATTGCTATTCACCCGTTGTCCCATTGTCTGTTTCATGGTACGATGATGGGATCTCTGAGCCTGGCCTCCTCCATCTACACCTGCGGACTGCCCCGCCCGACCCGCCTGGGAGTGCTTCAGTCCTGCACCGGACCTGTCCACGTTCAGCGGCCACTGGTCCACGTTCTGTAGCTTAGGTCCTAGATCATTAGCCTGTCCGTCCGGAGGAGCGGATCCCTTTCTCATATGGGTCTCCCTCCCTGTGGGTTTCCCTAGTTCTCCCCAAGGTTTCTCACTTTTTCCCACTGGGTTTTTTAAGAGTTTTTCCTTGTCGATGCAGGAGGGTCTTGTTGGACAGTTAGTGTCCAACAGAAAGGATTGGTGATGATCAGGACACTTTAGCATTCTACAACATGTATGGACATTTTCTTCTGTGTGTGCTTTATACTGTATTCTTCATGTGTTTTAACTGTTGACCTCTGACCTGTGTTGGTGATTTCAATGGTTTTGTTAAGTCCTCTGAGATGACTTCTGTTGTGACCTAGGGCTATACAAGAATAAATTGTATTGTATTGTATTGTGTGTGTAATCAAGTCTCCGTATAAATGCACCTGCTCTTTGATAGTCTCAGGGTTCTGTTTAAAGCGCAGAGAGAACCATGAAGACAAAGGAACACACCAGGCAGGTCCGAGATACTGTTGTGGAGAAGTTTAAAGCCGGATTTGGATACAAAAAGATTTCCCAAGCTTTAAACGTCTCAAGGAGCACTGTGCAAGCAATTATATTGAAATGGAAGGAGTATCAGACCACTGCAAATCTACCAAGACCCGGCCGTCCCTCCAAACTTTCATCTCAAACAAGGAGAAGACTGATCAGAGATGCAGCCAAGAGGCCCATGATCTCTCTGGATGAACTGCAGATAACTACAGCTGAGGTGGGAGAGTCTGTCCATAGGACAACAATCAGTCGTGCACTGCACAATACTGGCCTTTATGGAAGAGTGGCAAGAAGAAAGCCATTTCTCAAAGATATCCATAAAAAGTCTTGTTTAAAGTTTGCCACAAGCCACCTGGGAGACACACCAAACATGTGGAAGAAGGTGCTCTGGTCAGAGGAAACCAAAACTTTTTGGCCACAATGCAAAACGATATGTTTAGCGTAAAAGCAACACAGCTCATCACCCTGAACACACCATCCCCACTGTCAAACATGGTGGTGGCAGCATCATGCTTTGGGCCTGCTTTTCTTCAGCAGGGACAGGGAAGATGGCTAAAATTGATGGGAAGATAGATGGAGCCAAATACAGGACCATTCTGAAAGAAAACCTGTTGGAGTCTGCAAAAGACCTGAGACTGGGACGGAGATTTATCTTCCAACAGGACAATGATCCAAAACATAAAGCCAAATCTACAATGGAATGGTTCACAAATAGACGTATCCAGGTGTTAGAATGGCCAAGTCAAAGTCCAGACCTGAATCCAATCGAGAATCTGTGGAAAGAGCTGAAGACTGCTGTTCACAAACGCTCTCCATCCAACCTCACTGAGCTCGAGCTGTTTTGCAAGGAAGAATGGGAAAGAATTCCAGTCTCTCGATGTGCAAAACTGATAGAGACATACCCCAAGCGACTTGCAGCTGTAATTGCAGCAAAAGGTGGCGCTACAAAGTATTAGCGCAAGGGGCCGAATAATATTGCACGCCCCACTTTTCCGTTTTTTTTTGTTAAAAAAGTTTGAATTATCCAATAAATTTTGTTCCACTTCACGATTGTGTCCCACTTGTTGTTGATTCTTGACAAAAACATTTATGTTTATATCTTTATGTTTGAAGCCTGAAATGTGGCCAAATGTTAAAAGGTTCAAGGGGGCCGAATACTTTCGCAAGGCACTGTATATACAGTATATATACACACAGACTCACCCGTCCTGAGTCTCACGAACGTGTCGATGTAGTAAATCACGTCAGAGGAATGGTCCAGCACCAGCCACATGACGGTGTTCTCGTGCTGCAGCTCGTTAAAACACGCCCTGAAAACACACATATCAAAAACGTTATTGTTCCCCGAGCCTCGCAAAAGTATTAATACAGCTTGAACTACACCGCAAACAACACTTTATTATTGTTGGTATTTAATTGAAAGACCACAACAAAGCAACACACAACTGTGAAGTGAAAATGATGATGTGATTAGGAGACAAACACAGTGAAATAAAGTTTATATCATTCATAGAAAGTGTGCGAGAATTATTGAAACCAAATTGGGCACGTACATAAATGTAGGCACCACAAAAGAAAAAATAGTTTGTACATCCTCCTTTTTTTAGAACTAACAGCCCCTCAACGCTTCCAAATGAGTTTGCATTCTGGTGGAAGGAATTTTGGACCATTCTTCTATGCTAATCATCTCTAATTCATTGTTAGTTTTCGAGCATGGTCCGTCCGTTTCAAATAACATTGCAAATTCGGGTCAGAGAGGAGACCGGTCGAGGAGAGGAGAGGAGACTGGTCGAGGAGAGGAGACGAGAGGAGACGAGAGGAGACGAGAGGAGACGAGAGGAGACGAGAGGAGACGAGAGGAGACGAGACGAGACGAGAGGAGACGAGAGGAGACGAGAGGAGACGAGAGGAGACGAGAGGAGACGAGAGGAGGGGAGAGGAGGGGAGAGGAGAGGAGACGAGACGAGAGGAGACGAGAGGAGACGAGAGGAGACGAGAGGAGACGAGAGGAGGGGAGAGGAGACGAGAGGAGACGAGAGGAGACGAGAGGAGACGAGAGGAGACGAGAGGAGACGAGAGGAGACGAGAGGAGACGAGAGGAGACGAGAGGAGACGAGAGGAGGGGAGAGGAGGGGAGAGGAGACGAGAGGAGACGAGAGGAGACGAGAGGAGACGAGAGGAGACGAGAGGAGACGAGAGGAGGGGAGAGGAGGCTTGGGCCTTTTTAGTCACAGGCTTGGGCCTTTTTAGCTTCCCTTGACTCTAACGTTGAATGACACAAATGAAAACACTTGACTTTAACCTGGTTGCATCATTTCCTCAGAGTGTAAGTATTTCTGGAATAGAACCCTTTGGTGACTACAGCAGTGTCGTGCAGGTGTCCTGGTACCTCGCCACCAGCAGCATGAGGTTGTAGAAGACGGGGACCGAGACAGTGAGCAGCCAGTAGTAGTACATGTCTGTGGCCGGGTCCATGATCCACACCTCCTTCCTGCAGGAGCAACAGCAGTATCAGTAACAGCAGTATCAGTAACAGCAGTAGCAGTAGCAGTAACAGTAACAGCAGTAGTAGCAGTATCAGTGTCAGAGTAACATTTTTACTTTCCAGAATACTTCACGTTGACACAGTTTGAGGAGACACTCAAAGCAGTTCTGGTCCAGCCTCACCTTTTATTTTGGTTTTGATTCAATGTGTTTTTGTACAGCCCTAAATCAGTCTCAGGACTTGAATGTCTCCGATGGGGATCAATAAAGTATCTATCTGTCACAGACAGGGAGTGGGAGGACTTCTATCCATAGATCTTCCTGGTATTGGTCCCACAGTGGGGAAATGTCAGTGTTGCATGACCGAGGTGCACACAACACAAGATAAATGAGCTCTATAAAAATATCATTCAGGAAAATCTCTGACTTTAGCAAAATAAAGAAAGTTTAGGTACTCACAGCTCCTCCTTCTTCTTGTCGTCTTTTTTGTCGTCCTTTTTCTCCTCCTTCTTTTCCTCCTTTTTCTCGTCTTTCTTCTCATCCTTTTTTCTAAAATGACAAATGTTAGTGTTTTGGTCATATTCACTACTTCACTACAAATCCCAGAATGCCTTTGGGGCTTGGGTTCCCGTAGAATCTGTATGTATTATACCAGGCATTTCGATGATGTATTTTGTCATTTAATGTTTTAGAATCTGAATGATCTAAACCCTGTGACACCCTGGGTTACCAATATCCAGCAGACAGTTCAAAGGTTATTGCAAAATTTTGGTTTAATTTAAAATGGTTTATATTATGCTCCAATGAAGAGTAAACAGTGCTGTCGGCCTGCACTACCCTTCTGCGGCCACCAGAGGGAGCTGTAGAATTTCATTTGTTTTGGTCCAAATTTGAAATGACAGGCCTGAGCAGATACAGCCTTGTGATTAAAGAGCGACTAAACACCTGTGCCCAGACTTACTCCCCCCACATGAAGATTTGAACATTTTCTCTTAAAAGGGTGTTGCCTGGAGAACCAAAGGACAAGAAGGCGGGGCTTAGAGTTGGGCGTGGTCTGGGCTGTGATTGACAGCTCACTTGTCACACAAAAAAAAACAGACAGTTGTCATTGCTGCTTAAAGCAATAGTTTACAGACCAGAAAGTCTCATTCCACCCTTGTTTACACACTAAGATAATTGTAAAGCTACACACCTGAACCTAATCACACTCAATAATCTCAGAATGACTCATGTAATTTAATTTTAATCCACTAGATGGCGCCAGAATACTCCAAACTGCAGCTGGGGCGTGTGTGAGAGTTGAATGGGTTCACATCACTGGCTCTGACAGACTGACGTCACACAAAACAACTGATGTCATAGAGAACTTCAGAGTCAATGGAGAGGCCAGAACCAAAAATGTAGTCCCACCAAAAAGGTGGAGAGGGCACCACACAGCGTATTTTGGCTCAAAAGTGATATTTTATCTAATTTGAACTAAAATGTCAAAAAAATGACCAGGATATGTAGACAGCACTACAATAAACATACTTATGCAGTTTATGAGTTAAAAAAAGTTGATTTGGTGTTTAGTCGCTCTTTAAAGAGTATATTCAGAAATGGAGAAATTGCCAAAAATAATTAACTGGCAATGACCCAGAGGCAATTGGAGCAAAACTTCGCCCATGAGCACTTTCCTATTGGGCTTTTTGTTAAGCTAGCGGGTTAGCATCGTCCGGCTGTATACGATCGATAGATATGTGTCACTTTGCTTGTAAAGAGTCATACATTATTTTTTATTTGTAAGTTGAATTAAAGAAGTAAATGGACGTCTTGAATCCCAAATATCATGAGAATAAAAATAGACTGAAGTCATTTGAGGAAGTTATATCTTTACCCATCATTGTTGTTGGACCAGTTTGTGTTCTGTGCGGCGGACGGCCACGGAGACACTCTGGAAAACAACACAATCAACATTCACAGCTACGGCTAATTAGCAAATGTCCGTTCATTCGTTCAAAACATGTTTATTCAACACTGCATGAGAAAAATGCATTATCGTTACTTCCTGGGTGTCTAAACTTTAAAGCACAACCACACATTAAAACTGAGCTTGTCTTTACACCACTTTTCAGAAGACATTTTGCACACGTGGAATAGCGTGTGCAATTTCAGCGCTTTTATTCTACGATTCTACGAGCCATGTCTATCGTTAAAGGCCGGATTTAAAATGAGCCGAGGCAAACAAGTGTATTTTTGATTTATTAAAGTACGGGTGTCAAACTTATTTTGGTTAAGGGCAGAAAAACAGGGGCCGAAAGAATCAGTGGGTTTCATTTTTATACTTTTTTTATCATATGAAGGTATGTATATAAATGACTTGTTTCACTTTAGTTTGATTGAATATTCTTTTCTGATTAGATTTAGTTCAGTTCCTGTGGACTGGACCAAAACTGAACCAAAACTGGACCAAAACTATTGAAGGTTAATGGGAAGATTTTCTACTTCCGGATGGATCATCAAGACTACTGGTCCTCCTAACTGTCAATCATTCTGGTGAAGTGTAGAGGGCGGTTCTTTCCTATGAAAATTGGGAAATCCTCCTTGAAATGTAATTGAAGACTCATAAAAATCCTAACGTAACAAAACTAACTTCTAATAACATGTTGGCTTAACATTTCTTATGGAATTCAACGTTATGGTTGTTTTGAGAAAATGAGTAATGGAAAACATGCCATTGTCGCCTAATACCATAAACGCTGCTACTTTTTACTTAAAATCATCTAAAATCATCTCAGGGGCCACTGGAAATGGTCTCGCGGGCCGGATCTGGCCCCGGGCCTTGACTTTGACACCTGTGTATTAAAATAATGAACGTTTTCAGTTTTCCCAGGATAGGGAGGGGTGAGGAAAGGGTGAGGGGAGGGAGAGGTGCTCTCGAACACACATGGTTTCTTATGGGCCCAGTGTGTGGTGTGTAAAAGAGAAGGTTTCTGTTTCTTATCCCTTTAATGGTTTCCTCACATGTTTTCTGGGTCACTTTTTGAGTCAGTTTATCCACTTGAAGCTCGGAACTTAAATCTACAACACTGGGGCCTCTCTATCACCTGGTTTTAGGCACTTTTACCATCGTACTTCCTTTCAACCATTAGGCCTAAAATAAAAAATAAAAACTAGGGATTCAAATATTCCACACACCACGACACTGCTCTAAAATTATGATTGTGTTTTGTTTTGTGTTGTGAGAACAGCGCGAGGTTGGCTCACATGGCGGTGTTCCTCTGGCTGCGCCCGGCTCTAGGCCCTCGTGCCTCTGGGGGGACCATGCTGCTGTGAGGTCAAAGCACAGAACCAACGTTAGTGTGAGTCGTCAAGATCATAGTTGTAGGAGTTTTAGAATCGTGACAAATCGTGTGTTTTAAAATGCAGAAAGATCGTCCGATATCGTTTAACGTTAGTCTCATGTCTGGAAGTCATTTCTACAACATCATGTTTTTCAATATTGGCACTTTTAGACACCTTTAAGAGAAGTTTATGAGACCCGAGCAGTGAGAAAGAGAGAGCAGAAAGAGAGGGAGACCAGAGGGAGACCAGAGGGAGACCAGAGGGAGACCAGAGAGAGACCAGAGACAGAGAGAGATAGAGAGAGAGCAGAAAGAGAGAGAGAGACCAGAAAGTAAACGGAGAGACCAGAGAGAGAGCAGAAAGAGAGACTAGAGAGAGACCAGAGAGAGACCAGAGAGAGACCAGAGAGAGACTAGAGAGAGACCAGAGGCCAGAAAAAAATACCAGAAAGAAAGACCAGAGAGAGACCAGAGAGGGAGACCAGAAAGAGACCAGAGAGAGACCAGAGGGAGACCAGAGAGAGACCAGAAAGAGAGACCAGAGAGAGACCAGAGAGAGAGACCAGAGGGAGACCAGAGAGAGACCAGAAAGAGAGACCAGAGAGAGAGAGAAGAAAGAGACCAGAGAGACACCAGAGAGAAAGAGACCAGAGAGAGACCAGAGAGAAAGACCAGAGAGAGACCAGAAAGAAAGACCAGAAAGAGACCAGAGTGCGACTAGAGAGAGTAGATGTGGAACTCAAATATAACAGAAGAAACATTTTCAGCCTAAAAACATGATTATGTTGTTCCAGATTAGGACTTCTCCTCTTTTAGCCGTTTGCTTCAATCCCTCAGATTACAGACACTAAATTTACACTACAGCCTGGTCTGTCTCCTTTTCTACTTCTTATCTCAAGAAATAAACGCACACAGACGCATATGAAAGCTTACCTTTTTGAGGAAGAAAAAAAAAGATCAAAAATGGAATCGTAATATATTTAAGATCCTTGTAGCACCAATCTACATTTAGAAAAAGAAAATACATAAAACACAGCAATAGTTATGTCCATCTTCAGTGTGGAGAGGTCTGGAGGGAATGATGATTGATTTGTTGTCACTTCTTATAAATCCCGCCCCCTGGAGAGAGAGAGAGAGAGAGAGAGAGAGAGACAGAGAGGGACCAGAGAGAGACCAGAGAGAGACCAGAGAGAGAGACCAGAGAGAGAGACCAGAGAGAGAGACTAGAGAGAGACCAGAGAGAGAGACCAGAGAGAGAGACCAGAGAGAGACCAGAGAGAGAGACCAGAGAGAGACCAGAGAGAGAGACCAGAGAGAGACCAGAGAGAGAGACCAGAGAGAGACCAGAGAGAAAGACCAGAGAGAGACCAGAGAGAGAGAGCTTTAAAATGAACCCATATATATGTTTTTTGCGTGTCACTTTTGTTCATGTGTTTCCGTCCCTTTAAAGTCAATCCTCTTTAATCTTCTCGGCACCTGCGGCTGTAGAAACCCCGCCGTCCAATCACGGATCAGCGGTAATCCTTGGTCCCGTGGGGGGGGGGCTGTGGTCCCAGTGCGGGATGTGACTCCTGACACAGCACTACTCTCCATCTCACTGTGTTAAAGCTGAGGTACCTGACTTTCAAGCATTCAAAACAGTCACTAGTTTTCTCGTGGATGTGTTTTTGGCCTCTGTCGCATCTTTAGATCAGATTTTCATCAGAGACGGGAAAGTGAAAAAGAGAGGACCACACAAAATGTATCTTGAGTTGTGCACATTCTGCCTTTCAACAATATTCTCCACACACACAGACACACACATACACTCACACAGACACCCACACACACACACACAGAAACAGACACACACACATATACACACACAGACACCCACACACAGAAACAGACACACACACACACACATACACACACACACAGACAGACACACATATACAGACATAGACACACACACACACAGACTCTTTCTTTCGGGACATGCTGTCAGTGATAATCGTGAAAGATAAAAGTCAGGTACCCAAGCTTTAACTGTGGTCTGGCACGGTCTGAGTTAGTCTGAGTTAGTCTGAGTAAATGGGATTAAGGCTAATCCACTAATGCTTTGGTTTGTGACTTCAGCTGCTCCGACAGATCAGACTCATGTTGTACCTGTGTCAACTCCCAACATGAGAACAACAAGAGAAGTCGATTCTGTTTTAATAATAATAATAATAAAAAGCAATTACATAAAAATAATATACATTTTTATGTAATCGTGACTAAATGAGACTTTGTTCTGTCCCAACTGAAAGAGTCTGGTTTGAGTCATACGTTTATCGTTTCATATCTTTTCTGACATACTGGGATCTGATTGGCTGAGAGCTGATGGTCTGAGAGATGATTGGCTGAGTGCTGATTGGCTGAGAGCTGATTAGCTGAGTGCTGATTGGCTGAGAGCTGATTGGCTGAGAGCTGGTGCTGTATGAATAGAGGCTAAAATTTGTAAACTTTTAGAGCCAAGATCATGGTTTATTGAATGGTTTTGAGGGAGTGACTCTGGTGAATGTATTAAATCTGAATATTAAGTAATATATTATAAAAACAGAACATTTCTTATTTCCCTTTTTGGAAAGAAAAGAACAGTTACAGAACAATTAAAATATAAAAACCACAACAATTAAACGTAACATCTCGTTATCTCTGCTCTGAGTGCGACTGAGAGCAGGGGTTTGTGGGTAAGCAGCTCTGAGGCCGCTCTAATGGAGGTCCCCCGGGGCCTGGATGCTAACCACGGTGCGGACTCAGCAGGTGGTGTTCGGTTACCGTGGAGACGCCGGCAACACTTCCATCGTGCGAGTCCGCTCAAAAGACAAACGGAATAGTACATAAACAAGGCAACTCAAAGGGCTTAACTAAACGATAAAATCACACTTTCAAAATCATCACAAATCACAGTAAATTATGACTGAAGATAAAACTGAATTTGAACATTGTCAGAGAAGAAGCCTGTTTCGCATTTTCAGGAAGACCGTTCCACATTTTAGCTGCATTAATTTGAAAGTGCCTCCTCATGTTTAGCTCTGACTCTGTGCTCTGAGCCAGTCCCTGTGCTCCTCACAGTCCCAGCAGGAGGCCAGTCCCTGTGCTCCTCAGAGTCCCAGCAGGAGGCCAGTCCCTGTGCTCCTCAGAGTCCCAGCAGGAGGCCAGTCCCTGTGCTCCTCAGAGTCCCAGCAGGAGGCCAGTCCCTGTGCTCCTCAAAGTCCCAGCAGGAGGCCAGTCCCTGTGCTCCTCAGAGTCCCAGCAGGAGGCCAGTCCCTGTGCTCCTCAGAGTTCCAGCAGGAGGCCAGTCCCTGTGCTCCTCAAAGTCCCAGCAGGAGGCCAGTCCCTGTGCTCCTCAGAGTCCCAGCAGGAGGCCGGTCCCTGTGCTCCTCTGACTCTAAAAGAAATCCATCGGGAGACTCTGAGAAATGTTTTTGAAGAAAAAGACGCAACAAACCATTTGACATAAAATCAACAACAGATTTAACAATGAACCTGTTTGCACCGAGAGCCAAAGCCATTCTGATTTTGAGATAACAACGTGTCTAGCATTTATATGATCAGTAATGGTTTAAAAGTGTGTAAAAAAGTTGTAGTAAAGTCGTAGTAAAGTTGTAGTATAGATGTAGTATAGTCGTAGTAAAGTTGTAGTATAGTCGTAGTAAAGTTGTAGTATAGTCGTAGTAAAGTTGTAGTATAGTCATAGTAAAGTTGTAGTATAGTCGTAGTATAGATGTAGTATAGTCGTAGTATAGATGTAGTATAGATGTAGTATAGTCGTAGTATAGTCGTAGTAAAGTTGTAGTATAGATGTAGTATAGTCGTAGTAAAGTTGTAGTATAGTCGTAAAGTTGTAGTATAGATGTAGTATAGTCGTAGTATAGATGTAGTATAGTCGTAGTATAGTCGTAGTAAAGTTGTAGTATAGATGTAGTATAGTCGTAGTAAAGTTGTAGTATAGTCGTAGTATATATGTAGTATAGTCGTAGTATAGATGTAGTATAGATGCAGTATAGATGTAGTATAGTCGTAGTAAAGTTGTAGTATAGTCGTAGTATAGTCGTAGTAAAGTTGTAGTATAGATGTAGTATAGTCGTAGTAAAGTTGTAGTATAGTCGTAGTATATATGTAGTATAGTCGTAGTATAGATGTAGTATAGATGCAGTATAGATGTAGTATAGTCGTAGTAAAGTTGTAGTATAGTCGTAGTAACGTTGTAGTATAGTCGTAGTATAGATGTAGTATAGTCGTAGTATAGATGTATTATAGATATAGTATAGTCGTAGTATAGATGTAGTATAGTCGTAGTATAGATGTATTATAGATATAGTATAGTCGTAGTATAGATGTAGTATAGTCGTAGTATAGATGTAGTATAGTCGTAGTATAGTCGTAGTAAAGTTGTAGTATAGTCGTAGTATAGATGTAGTATATATGTAGTATAGTCGTAGTATAGATGTAGTATAGATGCAGTATAGATGTAGTATAGTCGTAGTAAAGTTGTAGTATAGTCGTAGTAACGTTGTAGTATAGTCGTAGTATAGATGTAGTATAGTCGTAGTATAGATGTATTATAGATATAGTATAGTCGTAGTATAGATGTAGTATAGTCGTAGTATAGATGTATTATAGATATAGTATAGTCGTAGTATAGATGTAGTATAGTCGTAGTATAGATGTAGTATAGTCGTAGTATAGTCGTAGTAAAGTTGTAGTATAGTCGTAGTATAGATGTAGTATAGTCGTAGTATAGATGTAGTATAGTCGGGCCGTGACTATGTCTTGAGAGTTATAAACTTGTGGATCATCATGACCAGAACCTGCCGTTGGTCGATGTCGGTCGTTGTTGGCGGTGATGGCGATGGATGAAGACCAACAACACTCATTCATGGCTCGTGGCAAGATCAGGTCACATGACGGTCCAACATCGCGACGCCACGGCCAAAATCTGCTCCATCCTGAAGCTGGAGGTGATGAGGTGTTGGAGGTTATGATGGTCCATGTTGAGTCTGAAGGCTTCATGGTCCATGCTGAGTCTGTGAAGGCTTCATGGTCCATGTTGAGTCTGTGAAGGCTTCATGGTCCATGTTGAGTCTGTGAAGGCTTCATGGTCCATGTTGAGTCTGTGAAGGCTTCATGGTCCATGTTGAGTCTGTGAAGGCTTCATGGTCCATGTTGAGTCTGTGAAGGCTTCATGGTCCATGCTGAGTCTGTGAAGGCTTCATGGTCCATGTTGAGTTTGTGAAGGCTTCATGGTCCATGTTGAGTGTGTGAAGGCTTCATGGTCCATGTTGAGTCTGTGAAGGCTTCATGGTCCATGTTGAGTCTGTGAAGGCGGATCTCCAGTCGTTTTTCTGCACCGGCCACATCCATGGGGCTGGTGAGTGTCTTCATGTTTTCTCAGAGTGGAGGCGTGAGCAAATGCCTGGCCACATTCCTCACACACATGGTTCTTCTCACCATTGTGCACAAACTGATGCAGTTGTAATGTATGTTTTTCTTTGAAAGACGTCCCACAGAGCTCACATGTGAAGGGGCCCTCTGTGGCGTGGCTCGTCTTGTGTTTCTCCAAGCTGGTCTTAGTTGGACACTCTTTTCCACACTGATCACAGGAGAACTATTTTGTGTGGCCGTTCTGATGGTTCCTCAGAAGACTCTTTGCAGAAAAAGACTTGTCACAATGATCACACTGGTAGCGTATATTATCGTGTGCGTAATGTGTGTACTTTAAGATGATCTTGTTGTGTAAATGATTTCCCGCACTGATCACAAATGTGAGGTCGAGCTGTCGAATGGATGAGCTCGTGTCTTTTGTTATCTTTTGTTGGAAATGTTTTGCAAATTAATTCCTAAATGCTTATTTTTATGTATTCTCAGCTTCTCCTGGCTGGAAAGACACTCTCCACACTCATCACAAGAGTAACGGACTCCGCTGTGAATGTGTTTGTGTCTGTTTAATCTCTCCTGATTCAGGAAAAACTTCCCACACTCGTCACAGCCATGACTCTTCTCGTCTTTGTGAGTGAGTTGATGTTTGAGTAAATGCTCTCGAAGTCCGTACCTTTTCCCACATTCATGACAGTGAAACTTCCTTTCTCTGGTGTGTACAACCGTGTGTTTCTTCAGGTCCATCATTGTCCAGAAGCAGGTCCCACACAGGTCACAGCAGTGGCTCTTCTCTCCACTGTGACGTCTCTTATGCTACTGTAATGACCGTTGGGGTTTGAAGAACTTTCCACAGAGCTCACATTTGAATGGTTTCTCTTCAGTGTCGTCGCTCATGTGCACATTGAGCTCGGCTTTTGTGGGAAATGTCTTGTCACATTGGTCACAGCAGATCAGATGGAGTCTGGTGTGGAGTCTCTGGTGCATGGTGAGATGGGCCTTCACTCTGTAAACTGTCTGTGAGCGTTTCGTTTCTCTCTAGATTCAAACTTTTTTCACACACACCGCAGTTGAACACTTTTTCCCCTGTGTGAAACTTTCGATGGTGTTTTAGTTTGGACTGAGTGCGAAACATTTTCCCACACTGCTCACATTTGAATTGAACCCCAGAGTGAGTGAGTTTGTGTAGTTGAAGGCTCGGCGCAGACTTGAAAGTCTTCTCACACTTGTCACATGTGAACCGACGCTCTGTGGCACGCACTGTTTGGTGCCTCTTCAGCTCCCATGCATTAGGAAACTTCTTCTCACACTTGACACAGCGCTGCTGCTTCATTTCCTACAACAAACAAGCAGAGAGTGACTCAAAGTTAACCGTTATTGAAAAGTTCGATATTTGTTTGCATTTTGTCACAATAAAAAGTCCATGTCCTGTTGCATGATTGGAGCACATTCCTGAGGTCTTCTCCCCAACTCTGCAAATAACATTTTTTTCCCTCTGCACAGCCATGAACCTAGCCTGACTCTGCCAGACCCTTGTAGTTCCGCCATGCTCCACCAGAGGCGTTTGACTGAACCACATGGAAGTGCAGCGAACTACATGGTCTGGCGAGTCAGGCTACCATGAACCACCCTAAATGTGGCACTGGCGCCACCCAGAGGCCAAATGAGGCCAGCCCCACCACAACCTCACATGGTTTGGGTGATTTTACAATATGATTGATTGAGTGAAATCTATTTTTTGCCACAGTATACTTTATGGGCATAATGGCTTTTATTTTTACTAAGGCCGCAGCTTAGTACAAATTAACTTCAATAATTGATTAGTTGCAATGAATTGAGTAGAGGTAGAGTATAAAACATCTTTGGAAATCATATTTAACTAAATGTTATGTTATGTTATGTTATGATTCCATTCCTGGGTCTACAGCCTCAGTCCTGGTTCTACAGCCTCAGTCCTGGTTCTACAGCTGGTTCTCTCTATATGGGCCTCCCCGAAATTTCTCAATTTTCCCCCACTATGTTTCTTTTGTAGGAGGGTCTCATGAAGACCGCGGTAAAGTGGCCCTGCATTTCGTCGGCAGCGGTAAAGAGGTCCGCACTTTGAAAGCGGTTGGCTCCTTTATGTTGTTACTTACAGTAAACGTGGAACGGGAAGCCGCGACGAGAAGCAAGCAAAATACAATAAAAAGAAATAAAAATAAAAACATTAAAAAGGAACAAAAAGAGATTTTTCGTTCCACGTTTACCGTAAGTAACAGCATAAAGGAGCCAACCGCTTTCAAAGTGCGGACCTCTTTACCTGAGCCACTTTACCGCGGTTCAGGACGGACACGGGTGATCCCGGACACTTTTGGGACATTTCTTAACATTTCGGCTCCCTATGAACCAAAGCCCACGATATTTTTATTTTCCTAAAGCACTCCCTGTTGTTCCAGTTTTATTCTCTGATCTGTTTGTCATGAATCAACAACTTTATAACCGAGGTGAAGTTAGCCGAACGTTTGATATTCGCCTGATATTCGAACAAAATCCCCCTGGATTCAAAGTCTGTCCGTATTTTCAGTTTAGTGAAGAGTGTAGTATTAAATACTGTTCACAATGTTGCCACCTATATAAAAAAAACTTTACTTAGGCTGCAGCTGACGATTTATAACAAGAAAAACAATGAAGATGAAGTCTCCGCTCGTACGTGTGATAAGCTCTCAGCAAGGGACCGTCTGCAAAGTGCAAGATTTGACAGAACGTTGCAGATGGGTTGGTGAATACAATAAAAACTGCTTTTAAAAAGTAGTTTTTCCCAGTTTTGATGGGTGTAATAGCTCCATTTGAACAATAGCTAGCTACTACAGGCAAGAATTTGGGAAAAATATGGTTTTCCCCTTCACAGTAACGAAAATGAAATTGGAAAAATTTACTAAAAATCAACAAAGATTTTTTTCCCAGATTTGATGGGTGTAGTAGCTCCCATTCAATGATAGCTAGCTACTACAGGCAAGAATTTGGGAAAAATATAGTTTTCCCCTTCACAGTAACAAAAATGAAATTGGAAAAATTCACTAAAAATCAACAAAGACTTTTTTCCCAGATTTGATGGGTGTAGTAGCTCCATTTGAACAATAGCTAGCTACTACAGGCAAGAATTTGGGAAAAATATGGTTTTCCCCTTCACAGTAACAAAAATGAAATTGGAAAAATTTACTAAAAATCAACAAAGACTTTTTTCCCAGATTTGATGGGTGTAGTAGCTCCCATTCAATGATAGCTAGCTACTACAGGCAAGAATTTGGGAAAAATATTGTTTTCCCCTTCACAGTAACATAAATGAAATTGGAAAAATTCACTAAAAATCAACAAAGACTTTTTTCCCAGATTTGATGGGTGTAGTAGCTCCATTTGAACAATAGCTAGCTACTACAGGCAAGAACTTTGGGAAAAATATGGGTTTCCCTTTCACAGTAACAAAAATAAAATTGGAAAAATTCACTAAAAATCAACAAAGACTTTTTTCCCAGTTTTGATGGGTGTAGTAGCTCCCAATGAACAATAGCTAGCTACTACAGGCAAGAATTTGGGAAAAATATGGTTTTCCCCTTCACAGTAACAAAAATGAAATTGGAAAAATTCACTAAAAATCAACAAAGACTTTTTTCCCAGATTTGATGGGTGTAGTAGCTCCATTTGAACAATAGCTAGCTACTACAGGCAAGAATTTGGGAAAAATATGGGTTTCCCCTTCACAGTAACAAAAATGAAATTGGAAAAATTCACTAAAAATCAACAAAGAAGTTTTTTCCCAGATTTGATGGGTGTAGTAGCTCCATTTGAACAATAGCTAGCTACTACAGGCAAAATTTTGGGAAAAATATGGTTTTCCCCTTCACAGTAACAAAAAAAATGAAAGACTTTTTTCCCAGATTTGATGGGTGTAGAAGCTCCATTTGAACAATAGCTAGCTACTACAGCCAAACTACACCCATCAAATCTGGGAAAAACTTCTTTGTTGATTTTTAGTGAATTTTTCCAATTTTATTTTTGTTACTTGAAAGGGAAACCCATATTTTTCCAAAAGTTTGGCTGTAGTAGATGGTTAATTTTTCTTATTTTTTTTTGGTTACTGTGTAAAACTCCCAAATTCTTGCCTGTAGTAGCTAGCTATATTGAATGGGAGCTACTACACCCATCAAATCTGGGACTTTGTTGATTTTTAGTGAATTTTTCCAATTTCATTTTTGTTACTGTGAAGGGGAAAACTATATTTTTCCCAAATTTTGCCTGTAGTAGCTAGCTATCATTGAATGGGAGCTACTACACCCATCAAATCTGGGAAAAACTTCTTTGTTGATTTTTAGTGAATTTTTCCAATTTTATTTTTGTTACTGTGAAAGGGAAACCCATATTTTTCCCAAAAGTTTGGCTGTAGTAGCTAGCTATTGTTCAAATGGAGCTACTACACCCATCAAATCCGGGAAAAAAGTCTTTGTTGATTTTTAGTTAATTTTTCCAATTTTATTTTCGTTACTGTGAAGGGGAAAACCATATTTTTCCCAAATTCTTGCCTGTAGTAGCTAGCTATTGTTCAAATGGAGCTACTACACCCATCAAATCTGGGAAAAAAGTCTTTGTTGATTTTTAGTGAATTTTTCCAATTTCATTTTTGTTACTGTGAAGGGGAAAACTATATTTTTCCCAAATTCTTGCCTGTAGTAGCTAGCTATTGTTCAAATGGAGCTACTACACCCATCAAATCTGGGAAAAAAGTCTTTGTTGATTTTTAGTGAATTTTTCCAATTTCATTTTTGTTACTGTGAAGGGGAAAACATATTTTTCCCAAATTCTTGCCTGTAGTAGCTAGCTATTGTTCATGAATGGGAGCTACTACACCCATCAAATCTGGGAAAAAAGTCTTTGTTGATTTTTAGTGAATTTTTCCAATTTCATTTTTGTTACTGTGAAGGGGAAAACAATATTTTTCCCAAATTCTTGCCTGTAGTAGCTAGCTATTGTTCAAATGGAGCTACTACACCCATCAAATCTGGGAAAAAAGTCTTTGTTGATTTTTAGTGAATTTTTCCAATTTCATTTTCGTTACTGTGAAGGGGAAAACCATAATTTTTCCCAAATTCTTGCCTGTAGTAGCTAGCTATTGTTCAAATGGAGCTACTACACCCATCAAATCTGGGAAAAAAGTCTTTGTTGATTTTTAGTGAATTTTTCCAATTTCATTTTTGTTACTGTGAAGGGGAAAACAATATTTTTCCCAAATTCTTGCCTGTAGTAGCTAGCTATTGTATCATTGAATGGGAGCTACTACACCCCATCAAATCTGGGAAAAAAGTCTTTGTTGATTTTTAGTGAATTTTTCCAATTTCATTTTTGTTACTGTGAAGGGGAAAACAATATTTTTCCCAAATTCTTGCCTGTAGTAGCTAGCTATCATTGAATGGGAGCTACTACACCCATCAAATCTGGGAAAAAGTCTTTGTTGATTTTTAGTGAATTTTTCCAATTTCATTTTTGTTACTGTGAAGGGAAAACCATATTTTTCCCAAATTCTTGCCTGTAGTAGCTAGCTATTGTTCAAATGGAGCTACTACACCCATCAAATCTGGGAAAAAAGTCTTTGTTGATTTTTAGTGAATTTTTCCAATTTCATTTTCGTTACTGTGAAGGGGAAAACAATATTTTTCCCAAATTCTTGCCTGTAGTAGCTAGCTATTGTTCAAATGGAGCTACTACACCCATCAAATCTGGGAAAAAAGTCTTTGTTGATTTTTAGTGAATTTTTCCAATTTCATTTTTGTTACTGTGAAGGGGAAAACAATATTTTTCCCAAATTCTTGCCTGTAGTAGCTAGCTATTGTTCAAATGGAGCTACTACACCCATCAAATCTGGGAAAAAAGTCTTTGTTGATTTTTAGTGAATTTTTCCAATTTAATTTTTGTTACTGTGAAGGGGAAAACCATATTTTTTCCCAAATTCTTGCCTGTAGTAGCTAGCTATTGTATCATTGGGGAGCTACTACACCCATCAAATCTGGGAAAAAAGTCTTTGTTGATTTTTAGTGAATTTTTTCCAATTTCATTTTTGTTACTGTGAAGGGGAAAACTATATTTTTCCCAAATTCTTGCCTGTAGTAGCTAGCTATTGTTCAAATGGAGCTACTACACCCATCAAATCTGGGAAAAAAGTCTTTGTTGATTTTTAGTGAATTTTTCCAATTTCATTTTTGTTACTGTGAAGGGGAAAACAATATTTTTCCCAAATTCTTGCCTGTAGTAGCTAGCTATCATTGAATGGGAGCTACTACACCCATCAAAACTGGGAAAAACTTCTTTGTTGATTTTTAGTGAATGTTTCCAATTTTATTTTTGTTACTGTGAAAGGGAAACCCATATTTTTCCCAAAGGTTTGGCTGTAGTAGCTAGCTATTGTTCAAATGGAGCTACTACACCCATCAAATCTGGGAAAAAAAGTCTTTGTTGATTTTTAGTTAATTTTTCCAATTTTATTTTCGTTACTGTGAAGGGGAAAACCATATTTTTCCCAAATTCTTGCCTGTAGTAGCTAGCTATTGTTCATTGGGAGCTACTACACCCATCAAATCTGGGAAAAAAGTCTTTGTTGATTTTTAGTGAATTTTTCCAATTTTATTTTTGTTACTGTGAAGGGGAAAACCATATTTTTCCCAAATTCTTGCCTGTAGTAGCTATCTACTGTATCATTGAATGGGAGCTACTACACCCATCAAATCTGGGAAAAAAGTCTTTGTTGATTTTTAGTGAATTTTTCCAATTTCATGTATGCTACTGTGAAGGGGAAAACTATTTTTCCCAAATTCTTGCCTGTAGTAGCTAGCTATCATTGAATGGGAGCTACTACACCCATCAAATCTGGGAAAAAAGTCTTTGTTGATTTTTAGTGAATTTTTCCAATTTCATTTATGCTACTGTGAAGGGGAAAACCATATTTTTCCCAAATTCTTGCCTGTAGTAGCTAGCTATTGCTCATTGGGAGCTACTACACCCATCAAATCTGGGAAAAATATCTTTGTTGATTTTTAGTCTTTATTTGTCGTTTTGACCTCTTGCAATTTGCAGACGGTCCCTTGCGAATATCAGGCGAATATCAAACGTTCGGCCAACTTCACCTCGGTACCTACTGCTCTGTCCGGGCTGGTAGGAGGCTCTCGCAGCCACCCCTCACTCGATTGCACTACTCGCACTTTACTCTGCGGCCTTTAACCAATAATATTCATTCCCTTCCTTCCACATCCTTCCCCTGGATTATATTCAAACTTTTGGGCCGTATGAACTTTGTCGCTCGAAAGAACAGAGCAGAGCTCTCGTATTCAAAGGGCCGTGTCCCTAGGAACTGGACTACTCAATCTGTGTGGTTGAAATTTTCCCTTTGTTTTTCTAATGTTGATTTATTGTTACGCTTACACTGTATATAACACCTGGGATTTATTATTGTGTATTTGCACTAAATGGCCATTCATTTTTAGCACTTGTGATAATTGTTATACGTCTGTCTTGTCCATACACATAAATGTAAATACAAACTAACTAGTTAAAAGCAAATCTCTAGCCTCCGCCTCTCTCTCTGCGAGTCACACCAATCTTCTGAGATTCTCTAGCCTAACAACGACTTTAAATGTATAGTACATTTAGTGGCACATAAAGTGGCAAGCTAGCCAGGAGAGAGAGCATTGGAGTAATGGAGTTTGTTTGGGAAAATAAACAAATATACATCTATTGTGTTTGATTGTGGACGGACAAGACAACATGGATATATTGGAGCAATTGGATATTAAAGTGCGGTTCTAGTTAAAAATAGAACCGCAGTGAGTTAAGTTTAGAAGAGATTTGACAAAAGGAACATTATTCCATTATTTAGCATGGATCTCATTTATTTAAATAAGTTACACATTTCATAGCTTATTTAGGGCAAACCACAGATCTATCATAATATCTGGATAGGGTATACCTGTACTAGCTTAGAGCTGAATGACTCGGGGGATTCTTGCGGTATTGAAGACTAAACGAGACTAATTGAGCTACCCAGAAATCTTTCTTATAGTAGTTGAGCTACAACAGCTCAACCTCAGCTGACAGAGCACCTACAACTTTCACACATATTCGGATTGTCCTATTGTGCGTGTTGTTAGTGGTAAGGGAAAGAAACCTACACAGACACGGGGAGAACATGCAAACTCCACTCAGAAAGGCCCCGTTCCGACCGATTCTAACCCAGGACCTTCTTGCTGAGAAGCGAGAGTGCTATATCCACGTAGCCACCGTGCCGCCCATCATTGGAGCTTGGGGCAAACGCTGAGCACATGCATTACAGAACCGACTCACTCTAGCACAGACGCCAAAGCGACAGGACAACAAATAGATAGATCCTTTATAGATCCCCGTAGGAGAAATGTAGGTGTCCGGTAGCAGCAAAAATGAAAAACAAAATTGATCATTCTAAAAAGCTAACAATAGTAATAATCAGCAACAGACCTTCAGGTCACAGCAGCAGAGATGGAGTAGCCTCTGGGTGGAGCAGGACGGGTCGGAGCGGATTGGTTGAGCGGATTGGTTGACGTTGGATTGGTTGAGTGGGTTGGTTGACGTTGGATTGGTTGAGTGGGTTGAGCGTAGGTTGAACGGAGGCCAAAGGGTGCAGGACTAGTGGGGCATCAGGGCCACACACAAGCCCTGATGCAGAGAAAAACTGACACAGTACATTGTAAACATCGCCCGTGATCCTTTAAGCTGCAGCGTGTAAAAAAAAAACCTCAGAATGACTAAATATTGCAAAATATGTATTGATCTGAACGAGTCCTTATGCATTTATGGCTAATTATGACAATAAAAATGGCCAGCAGGTGTTGCATTTCAAGCATAGAGTGAATATATTCAGAGCAAAAGCGCCCTCACCTGGACGCAAAAGTCACATTTACATCCAGCTTGCCACAATAATATACTTTAACTGGTTGATCAAGAGATTGTATAGACAAATTCTAAATAAAAGTCAATTTTACATGATTTTAATCCCAATTGAATTTGAAATCCACATCTTTCATTTTCTCTTCATAGACAGAATCAAAGTGCTGGGCCTGCTCCTCAGAGAGATGGTTCCTCCAGTCTCCGGTGATTCCTGAAAGACAAATGACAGATGTTGCTCAATGTAAATGGTTTAATAACGACTCGGTCATGATTACTTAGAACACTTTAGTCTGTGAGAGTGACAGGTGGATCGAAAATAAAAGATGCATTATTCAAAAATAAATCTTGGGCACTTTCAGAACATCAGCTAAAACTAGTATCATAAGTTTGGGAATGTTGAGAACTAAGCAACAAGAGTAATTCAGAAAATATTGACATGAAAACAATGTGCAGTCTTCCATCGCTATCGACCCCGTGCATGCGACGCATCAATGATGAGATAAAACCAGAAAATGTGTGAATTTGGTGTAAGAAAGTGACAGATAAAAAGGAAATTTCAATGTAATCGTTGCGCACGAAATAAGAGATTGTACACATCAAACAGGATCCATTATTTAGGATGATAAAGTTAATAAAATGAAACTCTGGAGCTATAACACTGGGTAACAAAAAAATATTTTTTGAAAATAGTCCAGGGTTTTTCAGCTGAATTAGACTAATTTTGATGCTCTGAGTCCGAAAATGACCTTGGTTTTGCTCAATCAGGTAAGGATTTTTTGCTACAGAAATATTTTTTTTAATTGATTTTGTGTAAAAACAAATTTCTGCGGATCATCAGCTGAGAAAACCTTGACGTTTTTTCCGTTTTCCTCAAGAAATAAAAGTCAACGTATCCAAAGTCATTCAGTTTTTATTTACTCCATCAAATTTGATAAACAGAATTCATAATAACGTAGACGTACATAATCCGTAACACTATGGCTGTATCTCCAAAAGTTGACCTGATAGAGCAAAATGCATGCGATATTCGGACTCAGAACACCAAAATTAGTCTAAATCAGTTGAGAAACCCCTGACCATTTCTTTGGCTGTCAACTTGTGTAATTGCACTTGGTTCGAAGGTATTTACAGATGTGTACGTTGCTGCTGAGAATATGACCATAATAAGCAACATTAATAACAGCAGCAGATAGTGACAGAATTTCAGATTAATGGATGAATGTAGTAATAATTGTAACAACCAGTGTATTATTATCAGAACCGGTGAGTGGCGCATGTATAGACTCAGCCGTTCTCCTTTTACAGTCTGACAGGAGCAGAGGATATTGCAAGGGCTACACCAACTCCTATATGGTGTCGTAAGGCAGTCAGTCAAATAGAAGCTTAGGTCAACAATGCAAGAAGAGTGAGACCTTCTGATTACTGGAAATGGTGACAGCAAATGTTCAAATGCTACTAATGGTGACATGTTTCTTTTGGTTAATCAATAAGACGGTGGTTCCTATTGGATGAGGGGACCTGTAAAAAAGAGACACAGACGCTATATAAACTATGTACAATGTTTGTATTGGGAAAAGATGATTGATTCTTTGCATCTGCTACTCTGTCCACCGTATATGTTACAGGCCGACCACTTATGAGCATTTATGGTTGATTCAGGACTATTGCGGTGTATAAGGTCCAAACTGTATACACAATGGCAGGGTAAGACACAAACTATTTGATGACGCGCAGATTAATTTACACGGGATAGGGACTTACTTGATGATCTGTAGTTTAAACTCTCCGTTGCCCTTCTGAGTGATGGTGAATGTTGCTTACGTTGAACAGAAAGTATCAGCCCGTGCTCAACCTGCCATGATGCCTTCCCACCTCTGCCCCTCTAAACCCAACACAGGAGCAGCCTAATTGCATACTGCCGTGGACAAACTAAGACAGTGCTTGAGCCCTCACTGTGCAGGTACCAATAGATGGGAAAAACTAATTTGTGGTTCCTACAAAGGACCACAATTTAAAGACAAGACTACTTTTCCCATGGGGTGGCGAACTGGAAATTGACCCTCCACAAACCCTGCAAAGAGATAGCACAGACCCTTCTTTTTTCCAGGGGCATGCTCAGAGTGACCGGTGTTGGAATTTAGGTGTGCAATCATGACGACCACCCACCAGCACAACTTAGAAACACCAGCAACTGAGAGAAGCGATAAAATGCCTAAGGCCTGAATGTGCAAGTTACCTTTCCTGTAAAACGTGAAATGGTCAAAAACAGGCAGTTTGGGCGTGCCACTGCAGTTTGTCCGGTCTTTCTTCATGAGGTTTTTCCTTGTGTTGTTTTTCTTCATGCTCTCAAAACAACACATGTCTGCGATCTTTTCCACAGCCTCATCGTCCGGACGCTTCTCAAAGAACTCACCAACTCTCCTCACCACTTGCGGCAGATCCTGGAACTCGCCGATATACATTTGCACAATTAAACTCAATATTGGATCTTGAGCCACCGAAAAATGATCAAGTTTGCAAACTTCCCTTCTCTGTATGTAAATGCAGAGTTCATAATCTTCTTTGACTGAGAGGCAATAGGTGTCGATCTCACCTGTGCCATCTCCTCGTAGGTCAGGTACAGGACGTGTGACTTGTCCTCTGCATTCAGCCAGCTCTTCACATGATCAAACCAGGAACCAAACGCAACTAAAAGAGGGATAAAAGACAGCTCAATTGTGTTACGGAATATACAAGTACAAATACTACCCATATGTTACCTACAATTATATAATGGTATTATTTATTTCTTCTTATTAATTTTTGATTCATTTCTGTTTGGCTTCCATGGCTTCAGATTTGATTATTTAAAAATAATAATAATAATCCCATCTTTCAAGTCAACAGGACAATATCGACTCCCTCGGACTACTGGCTAAGAATTCTGTCAATAAACCGGTGACAGAGGCCAACATGCACTGGGAAAAGGTCTGATTTACTGATAGGCACGCAAATACAGCTGCGGCTCTGGTCGTACAGGGACTAGACAACCCTGAGCAAAAAGGCCCCTGACCCCATACTTCTAGAGAATCCCACAAAAGACACTTGGTGGCACTAGCGCTTAACTAATACGTCTTTCAGAGTCATTCAGGTGCAGTGCAGTTTTAGTTTTGTGGGACTAGAATGTTAAAATTGCAAGGACTAATACATATGTGAATATTGCAGCTAAATGAAAAAAAAATGGTTTACTGTGTCCTTCGAGAAATTTGTGTTGAAGCCCCGTCAGTGAGTCTGGTGTTGGATGGAACTCTGTAATTTTATGGTAGTGAAACGTTGATATCAAGACATCTTTGGGATTCCTCATAACGTTGATGACCTGGAAAAAAAAGTCAGTTATAATATACTGTATATATTTTCATATACTTTGTCCGAAATCTTCCAAAGCTAGTCTCATTTTTACTTTATGAATCATAAAGCGGCATGTGGTTTTCTACCGTGGTTTTCTACTCTTTCATGTTTAAAAGGCTGGTGTGGAGGAAAAAGGGAGGAGCGATTATGTTTGTCCATCCATCCATTTTCTTCCCCTTAATCCATTTCTGGGTCGGGGGGTGGCAGTCAGACCTGCACCCAGTCACAGAGCACCAGCCCCTCACTGATCTTCCTGCAGGTGGTGAGTCCACATGAGCTGAGATCTTTCAGTGGGGGCTTCAGGCAAAGTGGGGTTAAGTGTCTTGCCCAAGGACACAACGACAGCAGTCATCAGTGGGAGTCGTGAAGTAGGTCTTGAGGTGGGCTCGAACCCACGACCTTCAGGCTCAAAGGCCAATGCTCTACCAACTGAGCTACTATCGCCCCAATTAGGAAGGTAGATTATGTTTGTCTTCCTGTTTATTTTTAAACAGGCTCGTCAACTTTTCCCACAAACAAAGACGTGACTGGTGCACAACAAATATTTATGCCCGAGCAGTTTCACTAGTTGCCTTTTTGACTTTGTTTTGTTTTTTTCAGTCGAGAGCAGAAGGCAGTGTTCGCACTTTGGGCTTGACCCGATAGAAGGACTCAGGCATGGCGTCGTAGCGGAAGTGTGTGACGAACATCCGCGGAGAGGGCTGGGCGTCTAGGTCCATGTAGAGAGCCGTTCTGTGTCCCATTGCAAAACTGCGCTCCCAGGTGGGCTCTTTGCTGTGCTCTCCTCCAGACAGAACCAGGGGCACCAATTCCAGAGCCCAGTTCGTACCTGCAATCATTTAAATAACTGTAATTTTGAAGAATTTATACCGGAATTTCATTTTAAAGAAATTATTTTCTCAAAATCCAGTATACCTTGGAAAATTATGACCAATGTTCATAAATGTTGTTGAATGTGGAGTTGAGTGTCCTGAATCATCACCACTGTCCTTAGTTATGTAGGCCAAGGGTGTCCAAACATTTTAGTAAGAGGGACACTTTAGTTCACCAAACTAGTCCAGGGGCCGACATCACAGACTGAAAACTGTCTTGACTGGCACCGGAGCTTTGAAACGATCTATTACAGAGCTGAAGTTGGCTGAATGACACGCGTTAACTGCATCACATTAGCACCACACGTTGTAAAAACAATGAAGATTACATTTATTATTACGATGAACTGGATGGAACATAAATTGATAAGTATTGCTGTTTTTTTGTTTGTTTGCATCAACAAGAGGAATCAGGAATGTCATGTGAAAATGTTAATATTTTTGCAGCCGCTTAAATTAATTATTGATATTGGGGAAGGCACTTATAAGCTTTTTGCTTCTGCCTTCTCCTTTTGAGCTTTTATATTTTAGTCTGTCTTGAATTATATGTGCATGTTAAAAAATAATATATAAAACACATTGTAAAACTGCTCAAATAAAAATACTACTACTACCATCGACAAGAGTATGTGACACAATCAAAAACCATGTCATTACAATATGTGCAAATAAATTGGAAACTTTGGACCCCATTGATCTGATCAGCATTCCCCGGACCCTAATCCCGCCCTAACCCTGGAGAACAAGGCCATATGAGACCTGTGCCTCTTCTCCTATAAAAAGTGGTAGAATGAGATGGCAGGATTTGGACTGCGGTTTACAGAGGCAAGCGTTTGGGGAAACCCTTAAAGCTTGGCAGCCGCGAGACAAGGTAAACATCTTTTCCTCTGCAGGGCCCATCAGTTAAGCCATCACAGTCTGATTTCCACCGCTGCACATATTGTTGTAAATATAATTGTGCCATGTTAGTCATCGGTGGTTATAGGTGTTGTTGCAATAGTTAAAATAGTTTATAGTTATTGCTTGACTCATTCCAGACTGATCTGACCAGTTTACAAGAGATGGCTCATGTGAAGGTATAATAATTATTTGAATAATAATGATGCATTGGTTTTATATAGAGCTTTTTTGGACGCTCAAAGACGCTTCACGTGTCAATATTCATTCACTCCATACACGGTGGTGATTAACTGCTACCGGCAGAAGCGAGGCAACCGACCAGTATGTGACAACAGCCCCTCTGACCGCACCACAAACCATTGACACACACACCAGACTCATTCTAGGCAAATGGGGGTGAAGTGCTTTGCCTAAGGAGACAGCGGTTTGGCACTTTACAGCCGCAGCCGCCCCACCGTGGCACTGTGTGTTCCCAGAGATTAAGTGTCTTGCCAAGGACACAACAGCTGCAGACATCAGTGGGAGTCGGTGGAGAAAGTCTTAATTACTGATAATAAAAATGAGATGCTGAAGCTTAAAATATGGTTTGATAATAATAAGCTATCTTTAAATTCAAACAAAGCTAAATGAATGCTGTTTGGAAATGTCAATAAAGACAAACATTTACAAAAACAAGGGGTAAACTCAGAGCATGTAAAGGAAACCACATTTTTAGGAGTCATAATAGATGAAAAATATAATTGAAAAGCACATATACAATACATCCACAACCAAATATCTAAAAGTGTAGCAATACTCAACAAGGTCAAATGTGTTCTGGATCATCCCTCACTGCGCATGCTTTACTGTTCACTCCTTTTGTGCCATATCTCACATACTGTGCGGAAATATGGGGAAGCAAGTACCCTTCTACAGTACAGCGTTTGGTCAATCTGCAAAAAAGAGCCATAAGAGTTATCCTCAATGCCAGTTATCGAGAACACACCAATCCGCTATTTATTCATGCAAAACTACTCAAACTAAACGATTTAATATTTTACCAAGCTGCACAAGTCACGTATAAAGCAAAAAGCAAACGACTACCAGGAAACATTGAAAGGCTTTATTGGGAAAGTGAACATATAATTTCAGAGTGCTTTTTGCTAGAACATCCAAGAAAAGTTTTTGTTTATCTGAGTAAAATAATGGAATCGTATGGAAGCTGGTTTAAAACATTGCAATAATATTTATAATTTCAAAAAATTATGTAAAAGACAGTTATTTTGTGGATATCCAACATAAGCATTGCAATATCTATACACAGCTTTGATTATTTTCTTGTGTCGTTTGGATAATAATCAATAATAATCTTCAGAATCAGAATCATTTTTATTGCCACGTAAGTAACAAAAGTCACCACTTGGAAATTGCTTTTGGCAGAGCATGTCTTGATCTATTAAGTTAAAGGGAAGTCTAAACAATAATGAGCAGGAGAAATAATAATAATTATAACGATAATACATACAAAGACAAAACCAAAACAACAGAAAAACAAACAAACAACAAAAAAGGCTAGGGATACAGGAGGGATGGGAGATGCCCTTGGACAGCACCCCTGCACCAAGTACACAACCTCCCATAGTGTCCTTTTTAATGCACCACTTTAGACACAGGTATACAAACTGGGACACAAATAAGAAGGGGAATTCGGGGCAATGAGGGTAATGGGTGGATGCACAAATTTGCAAAAATAGACACCCACACATACACACACCACTGTACACACACACACACACCACTGTACACACACACACACACGCACACCACTGTACACAAACCCACATGTAAATATTCACACTGTTGTCTGTCTTGTTGTATTTGTGGTCCGTACGTCTGCACTTGTATTGTATGTCTATTTTTTCACAATTCAAAAAAAATAAAAGTTAAAGGGAAATCGAAAGGTTTTTTGTTGTTGTAGAAAAGTAGAAAAGGGGGCGACGTTACATACGTGTTGAGCTTCTTCCTGCGCTCTTTCGGACATGATTGTTTATTTAATTTATTCCTTGAGGGACCAAATTGTATATGTCAGGGGGTGCAAAATGGGTGGTGGGTCATGGTTTTATTCATATTTTATGCATGTTGGAACAGAGGAGGGCAGAGCCGGTCCAGAGGAGGAGGACATGGGACCGGGCCAAGGACGAGCACCGCCAGCCAGAGACCACGGGGCACTGAGGCCAGCGGGGAGAGCGGCACCGGTGAGGCGCGCATTGATAGTGCATTGGCGCGTGCGCGCCCGGGCTAGGCCCAACGACCGGGATGTGCCGGCTCTCCCCCGCGGGTGCCCGGTGGCGACCCGTGGCCGGCGAGCGGCTGGCGGGACTGCGGCCCGGTCCCGGGACTGAGAACGGAGAGGGAGCCAGACACGGGAGCCAGGCGCGGCCGGTGAGAGCCCCGTGGTCTGGCGGCCCAGGCCGTGGGGACGCATTTTAGCCTGTTTTAGCCTCTGTTTTAGCTTTTAGCCCTCTTTTTAGCTTAGGTTTTTATTGCTTTTATTTACTTGTTTTTAATGTATTTTATAATAAATTGCTTTTAATTCGCTTTTAATACAGTGGTCCTTTTTAAATCCGGGTCCGAAGAACCTGCTTTTTTTACCCTTGTGACACATACATTGTACACGTATAGGTTTTTTGTCTGTATTTTTCTTTTTTTTAAATTAATTATATATTTTGTATTATACTATAGCAATATTATAGCAATTGTTCTTGTAAATGTGCTATAGAAATAAACTTGTCATTGACATATTATTTTGTATTGTCGGAATAAAGACTCATTCATCCATCCATTTTCTTCCCCTTAATCCATTTCTTGGTTGGGGGGGTGGCAGTCAGAGCTGCACCCAGTACACATAGCATCAGCCCCTCACTGATCCTCCTGCAGGTGCCGAGTCCACAGGAGCATATCATTCATTCAATAAAATAAAAAATAAAAATACAACTCGAAAATGTCCTACACTAGAAGTAAATGCATTACACATCCAGGATACATCTCAGAATACAATTATAAATGTTACCTGATTTTGGAAATGTCACAACAATTACATCATCAGGTCGAAATGTGAACTCCTCCCAGTACTTCAGCCCCTCTGGAAAGTAGATTAACTTGGGCACATACATCCCCTTGTACATAGAGTAGTAGTTAGGATCAGCCATGTTGTAGCGACAGAGACAGAGTGAGCACAGATCTCACCCATAACAAGTCAAAATCTATGCTCCGGGTTTACCCTTTTGCTCATGTTTGCCAACTGCTTCCATATTTGGAATTGGGTGTGTCACACAGCCAATGGGCTCAAACCTAAGAGAGCAGTAGGAGCCGATCTGGATTTCCAGTAACAACAATAAAAAAAAAGTAATATTAGTTTATTGATTCCTTCGGTCGTTAACAGTGTCATGTAGAATAAAATTGGAAAAGCATGGTTTGAGTGTAATGAGTGATTTTATTGGTTAACAAATGATTTAGAGGCTCTGGTATTTGGGACATGTTTGAGTTACGTGGAGATGCAGATTGTTGCGTCTTTGTTTAAGAACAAATACCCACTGGCCAATCGCGCTGCAGAGCCTTGACTGCGTGACCTCGTTTCACCTCTGGCGTCCGCATGGGGAGTAGCTGTTCTCGAAGCAGAGCCGGGACAATGGCTCATTAGACCACAATCGTAAATAATCGCTTCAATAGCCTTAAGCCTGAGGCCAGAACACTGCGTTTCTTACCTCCTTGGCTTCTTACTCACCTTATTGCCCTTATTGACTTCCACAGCTAACCAGAATTACATATTGCACTTAACAGTCGTGCTCCCTACATACGGGTAATATTGGCCCCTTCTCCTGCTAGAAGTAAACTTATTTAAAGCAGATGTGTTAAAAACTGCTGCTGCTTTCTCCAATTACTTCTTGGGTTGCGTCCAATGACTGTGCTTCTGTTATCTGGTGTTAATCTATTTTCATTTTTGTACGAAAGTGAAAATGTTTAAAAACTCAACTAAAAACTTGTTTGAACAAATTGTGAAAATTTAGAAATTATGTTTTTTATATTACTCTGTCTCTTGTACTCTTCAGTCCATGAACCTGAGCTGCAGGGTTTATTTTATTTTTAAAGTTAAATCAGTGGTTATTATTGGTCCTGGAGCAATCTCTCCAGGTAGGGTTGTTATTTTTTTGACTATTATCTCTAATATCAAAACTATTTTTAATCAAGTCCTGCCCCCAGTATTTGTATAAGGAAGAAGAAGTGCAGTAATAGATGCAAAGAGTATAACAAAAGACGTACAAATGTGTTATGGATCTGCTGTATCCTCAACCCAATTTATTTGTAAAACAAAACACTGTAAGCTTGTATTTGTATTGAGCTCCCTCTTCCTGCTGCTGTGGGCGTGGCTGTTCGTGCTCCCTGTTCCTGATTGGCCTGCACACCTGCCCCTCATCTCTAATCATCTCTGTATTTAAGCATGGGCATTTCATCAGTCCTCTGACAGATCCTCGGTTTACATCGTGAGACGACACCTCAGGCCTTTGGCTATTTTTTGATGCCCTTGTCTGATCTAATTTTTTGTGCTGCTCAGTTTCTCGTGCCAGTTGCAGCCACGTCACTCCTGCTCCAGCTCCTGTTCCAGTACTGGCCCGCCCAGCAATCCACCAATCCAAGCTAGTAATACCCTATCCAGTTATTGACCCGTCCTTTGCATTTGGGTTCACTTCTTTGATCATTACAAAGCTATAATAAAGAATTTCATTACATTTTAATCCTAGGTGAATTTTAAATCCACATCTTTCATTTTCTCTTCATACACAGAGTCAAACTGCTGGGCCTGCTCCTCAGAGAGATGGTTTCTCCAGTCTCCAGTGATCCCTGAAAGATAAATGAAAGAAGATGTTAATAAGAATTCTGAATTCAAAGTAAAGTGAAATACTATGTCCTCATAAAATCATTTACAACCTTTTGTCTGAAACCCACAATTACAATGAATAATAAATGAAAAATAGTTTTTGTCTGTGTTTGAAGATTTGAAGACAAGATATGGCAGTTGAAGAAGACGACAAAGTCTGGGATTGTGTCTTTAATTCAGACAGAAGACATGTTTTATTGTCGATAGTAGACAGCACCAATAAATATGTTAAAGAATGCAAGTGATATTACAATATACAGCATGGAAGTCCTCCAATCAGCGATCGCCACAGTACCCAAAATATCACAATGGGAATAAAAATATCCCGTAAAATATGTATAAATATAGTTGTTTCAATATTTGTTATGTTACACACAGCTCGTGGTAATGATTTGTAGAGCAGTCTAGTCGCGTTACAGGCTGTTGTGTCAGGTTGATACACCATGTGGTTCTGAAAGTCCAAATGAAGTTACCTTTTCTGTAATACTTGGAATAGTCTAGTGCAGGCAGTTTGGGGGCAACGTTACAGTTGGTCCGGTCTCTCGTCGAGTTGTTTTTCTTCATGCTTTCGAAACAACACATGTCTGCGATCTTGTCTACAGCTTCGTCGTCCAGACGCTTCTCAAAGAACTCACCAACTCTCTTGACCGCCTGCCGCAGATCCTGGAACTCGCCGATATACAGACGTACCATTAAAACTCAATCCTGTATAAAGCAGTTGTTGCAGTATGTCACCAAATGTGGCGTTACAGTTTGTGGGGATCAGTTTGTTTCCCTCCCCTCCCCGGCCTTGTATGTGATGATACCCGGAAATATAACTTTTAAAAAATGTACATGTTACATTTGGATCAATCAGAGTATGCAAATAGGCAGGAAAAGGGCAAACAGTTAAAAGTAAAAAGATATAATGTATCAATTAGTGACTTTTGTAGAGTCTGAGTTACTTATTGTACAGTCTGACAGCAGTGGTCTTTAGTCTTGGATCTACAGTCAGGGGATCCAATGACTCTTAATGTGACTGTTAAATTTCTAATGTGTTCTAATTATCCGATTATCACGTCTGTTGGCAAATCAACAATTTTGTGGCGCCCTTAAGAGACGACCGCCGATGTAATTCTGAGCTATCCAAAATACATTTGAGCCATGCACTTTTGAGATGGTCCCTAAACTTCCCTCAAATCAAACAAAACTCTCAAAACGACACTGCAGTTGTCTTAAAGAGCATCAGAGAATTTATGATTTGCCAACAAAAGATTAGCAAATCAAACAGGCCTGAGATTATTCATTAAGGGAATTTTGATCATTTCACAGTGGAATAAATATAAAGAACAAAAAAACTTAAAAAATATCAATTGTATTAGTTCTATCAAACAATTACAATACTCAATTGTGACTAATTGTATTAATGTCATAGTTATTCCATGATAATTTGAGCATAATAGTAATCAATAAAACTGTAGAGTGTAGGGGCTCAGACCTGTGCCATCTCCTCGTAGGTCAGGTACAGGATGTGAGACTTGTCTTCTGCATTCAGCCAGCTCTTCACATGATCAAACCAGGAACTGAATGCAACTAAGACAGAAAAAATATTTACTTTTTATCAGTGTTCAGAAAGTGTAAGTTTTACAGTTGCTCCAAATGAAAACACATGTTAACCAATAACACATTTTAAGAATATTTACCTCCACCATGTTTTTGAATTGTTGTCATAGGCTTAGAATTTCTCTTCTTCTTAGAATTAGAGCTGGAGGACTCTACATGTCAATCTTGAACTACAGTGGTTGATAAGGGACAAAAAGGAGTTTGACCGAGTTTGGGGACCACTGTCAAAGACTTCATATTGTTCTGCGAAAGCTACCGTAGTACTGTAAATTACAACATGTGCTCTCAATGCTAGATGGGAGTAAAAACTACACAGTGTACCTTTAACCAAACTAGCACTTAGTAAGTTTGTTTTAAAACCAATAAAACCACGCTTTGAATTGCAACAGTCAGCCTGTCTTTCAAAATGTTGAATAGAGAATTGTACTTCTGGATCTCGAAGCTTCAGATTCAAGCCATTACTAACATTAACTACAAAAGCACTCTTAGAGACCAGAGTCATTCCATAGACAAATCCTACATTCAAACTATTGTTATAATTATTTATTGTAAAAAGTGAATTATGTCTTCTTTATGTTTAAGCTCTTAAAGGTTCTTCTAATAAGAAACACGTGTAAAGAAGCTAGTACTGCTTAATGGAAATGTTAATGGTAGACTTTTGCCATAGCTGAAGGCGAAGGCGGAAGTCTACTGCAGAATTAGCTTAACAGTGGTGATTATCTGTCTGCAGCCTCTGTACCTTCAGCTTAATCCAAGGTGCAAAATATTATTGTATTGCACAATGTAATGATGATCTGAACTTTAGGCCCATTCTTTGTGGGAACAGAATGTTATTTTTGAAACGCTGGAGACATTGTCCGGGGCACAAAAGGAAATATTTCAGGAATATTTCAACATAACCGTTCACTTTAATAATGAACCGATTTTAAATAAATAAATAAATAAAATAAATAAAAAGTTTATACGGCAGCTATAAAGGACCCAAATATGTAAATATCATCTTTGTCCGATCCGTCCCAAAATTGATGAATAATCTTTGTGTATTAGAATATTTAGCTTATCGGTGCAGAGGTTGTGTGTTGAACACTTTAATTTTGTCTTTTGGACAAAATCTTTGTTCAATCAAATTATAAATGAATGTACTGCTATGATAAGGGGGCTCTTGTGTATGTTTGAAAGAGTTGGTGACCTGATCACACCATTATGTCCATTCAAGTTTAAAGCTGAGCCCCCAGTGGTAAACTGTGGAACATACTTCCTGTGTTATGAAATAAATCACTTCTTTCGGTGCAAAGATAGTATTCGGCAGGTTTGTGGCAGGTTAGAACATCAAGTCTATGGAGAGTTAGCCGATAGATTGAAAAAATGGCTGCCGTATAGATTTTTTCGAGCATCCAAAAACTTATTTCAAAATAGTTGTTTAAAAGAAAACTTTTATAGAAAAGTGAAATACTTTTTTACATATCTGCTAAAAAGACTGTAAAGAGGATTTTTTTTTTTTTTTACCGTGTCCTTCAAGAAATTTGTGTTGAAACTCTGTTAGCGAGTCCTTTGTGGGGTGGTACACCGTGTTATTATTAAAGTAAAACATTGAGATCAAGATGTCTTTGGGATTCCTCATAACGTTAATGACCTGGAAAAATGCAGGGAAACATTAATGTCATTGTTATCGTATCATTTTCACAGTTTTTTCACCATAAAAAGGGTGAGGGTACTTTCAAATGATATTTTTTGGTTAAATTATATGACGTGAGCATATAATGACGATCAATTCTCCTAGTTGTTTAGCTACAGTTTATAATGCTTTCTGGATGGAAACCGAGCAGCAGATGTGACATTAGTCGAGGTAGTTACGAGAGCAACCACAACATTCATAACAAGGACCAAAGCTTGTCTTAATTTACAGAATAATAAAGAAATAAGTAGGAATAAATATGAAGCTGCTAGCTATTTCACTCGCTAGCAATTTTGCCATAGTTTTTCCCACACAGGAAAACTGAAGACATGGAGGCACACACATTACAACCAGTACACCATAAAGTCAGGGAGCCACATACTGCCTCACAAGTTACAACAGTAAAGAAAACAACACCTGAATTAATTAAATTGTACTGCAAGTCTCCTGTCGTCACGTCTGCTGTTTGCTGATTGATTTTTTTCTGTCAATCTGCGCGTTGTGGCAGTCCATTTAAAATGCAATGGATGCGCCATGTGTGCCTGGATTGTCTCCAACTGTCTGCTTGTCTGGATATGTATTGAATAAATGCTGGACCTGTCAGGTATTTGCTTTTACATGATGAAAGTTTGATGACATTTGAACACATTCTATAACTTTTGCCATATAAACCTGACCGGTGTGAAATTAGTGTTTACTATGGCTTCAAACCAAACAAAGTCATAAGTCTGACACAAAATATTTACAGTTCAGAATGGATTGCTGCGTTTCGTACCTTGGGCTTGACCTGATAGAAGGACTCTGGCATGGCATCGTAGCGGAAGTGTGTGTTGCAAACGTGTGGGGAGGGCCAGGCGTCAAGGTCCATGTGGAGAGCTGATTTGTGCCCTATCGCAGCAGTGCGCTCCCAGGTGGGTACAGAGCCCACCAGGCCGGGCTCTCCTCCGGACAGCACCAAGGGCACCACCTCCAGTGCCCAGTTTGTACCTGCAATAATTTAAACATACACTGTGTAATATACTGTGTTCAGTTTAGCAAGAATATTAAGTATTGCATTTTCTCCATCTAACAAAGCAGGCCAGGTGTGTGCATGTACGATGCGCCTGGAAACGGCTGCAAGTCCTAAGTAGCTCTAAAACAGTTTTTGTTTTGTGCTTAATCAATTTTTATTTGTATTGCTTTTTTCTACCTGAGATGTTGCTGCAGTACAGTGTTCATGGTTTTACACTGGTCCAGACCAGAGCAGAGAGGATTCATGGTCCGAACCAAGCGGATCAGGTGAAAATCCACTGGAGGAATGCTAACTTTTTGAAAAATGCTAATGAAGCCTTTAGCCTTTTACTTTGGACTAGAGCAGAGAAAAGGGTCCGAATCAGGCGGGTACTCCACCTTTTGACCTGTCCTGCTCCACCCAGAGGCTACTCCACCTCTTCTGCTGTGACCTGTTGCTGATTATTACTATTATTATGTTTTTAGAATGATCAAATTCATTTTTATTTTTGCTGCTACTGGACACCTGAATTTCTCCTACAGGGATCAATAAATTATCTATCTATCTATCTATCTGTTGTGTCTATAGTGTTCATGACTATGTGGCTGTTTGCAGGTTGACCTACATTTACGACTTTAGCTTCTGCAATCCCAAAAAAATCCAAGATCACAGTCACCGAAAACATTTTCCCCTCATTTTACTAGCAACAAGCGTGAAATCATGATTGCGATGTTATAATACTTTCCGCTTACCACAAACTTTTGGACAATGTTTATTTTTTTTGTCAATGTAAGTGAATCGGAGCCAGAGAAAATATAGGGAAGAAAACTTTATCCCCGAGCACTTCACTTTTGGGCGTCATTGAGCTAGCAGGTAAGTATTGTCAATCTGCATAGATATGATATTACCTTTTATTTTATTTTTTTTACTAAAACAATTAATTTTATTTCAGTACTGTAAGTTATTCCCACCAGTACAAACTTGACGGCCGGCTTTCCTCTCCCCTCCCTCTGCAGAATCAGACCACCCACATCCAGATAAAATAAACTTTTTTCTTTTCTGGTGCTTCCATAATGCTAACAATTATGACAAATTATACCAACTGGAATTAAAACAGCAATAATGAAGATAACGATCATTCTAGTTCAATATAATTGGATCTCTTGAGTCTTAATGCTTCACAGATAGTTTTTAATGGGTTACATATATTGGTCCTAATGGTGAAGTGTGTATGCATAAGTTATTTAAAAAAAAAAAAAAAATGTATTACCTGATTTGGGAAATGTCGCCATAATGACATCATCGGGTCGAAAGGCGAAATCCTCCCAATACTTCAGTCCTTCTGCAGAGTAGAAGTACTTGGCACATGCATTCCCTTGTATAGAAAGTAGAAGCTCGGGTCAGCCATGTTGGAGCTCAAACTGCAGAAAGGATTTATATTCATCCATATATACAGTTGGATAGTTGGGTTGTGTTGCAAGATTTCATTTGAACCTTCCTGTTTTGTGACAATACATGTTTGGGTTGGAATGTTTAACAGCAGTTCTTACTAATGACCGAGGTGTTTTGGGAGGGGTTTGGAGTTGTTCCAACAAGTACAAGGATGTTGTTTTCTAGTTCTACATTTTTTAAAAACCAAAATAAAAAACTAACAATTACTGGAATTCTCTGACATGGTGCACGTTTTGGGAAATTTGAAACTCCCTCCATTGTACAAAGCCTGAAAAAAGTTCTACAAGAGCAAAGTAAGTAAGTAGTCTTAATTAATTTAGCGCATTTCACAGACCAAAGTCATTCAAAGTGCTTTAAATTTAAAATGGTGGTATATAAGATTACTTACTTATGAGAATTCTCATTTCCATCTTTTGTCCATAAGCAGGTAACACAAAGTAGATATACATTTACAACATTATATGAGCAGACAGTTCAAGTTGAGACTGCGGGTGTCTGAAGTCTCCACCGTCTCAACCTGATAAACTGATAATGATGCTGTGTCTCACTGAGAACCATACGGTATTGTCTCTTCTGTATTGCAGAAGACTTTGGGCACCCGCAAAAACCGTGTAGGAGAAGGAATGCACTCCGGATTTTGTATCAAGAAGGTTTAATGACATACAACACAATACAACTAGCTTGGGACCAAAAGAAAAGACGATGACAAAAGAAACCAAGACATGTTGACATTCTTACACTGGCTGATATGACGTTATGACAAGTTAGTACAGACATTACTTTATTATCATACATGGCTGGATCTCAGGTCAGACCTCAAGATGTGCCCATCATTGTCTGAGACGAGAACGAATGCATGTGTTGTCTAAACATTGGCCTCATATTTATATCCCAGAACACATGCACATAAAGGAATACATGTAGGAGAAAAAGAAGTCTGAGACACTCTGTAGAAGCAGTCGACCTGACGAAGACCACTTTAGGTCGAAATGCGTTGGCAGTCCATTTTGTTAAAGGACTTTTATTTTTTCACGTCAACACTGTTGACACTCTGCCTCTTTTTCTCTTTTTGACATCCTAAATCTGCTTAGATTGCCCTGTCTTTGAAGAGCACCTGTTTGTTAAGCTTTCTACCACTCGTACCCTCTGCAGCACTCACCTTCCTTGCTTTAAAGAATACATGTAGGACTCAGAAAATACAAGAGTACATGTATTCTCATGAAACAGACCAATCTCCCTGAAACCCTGCACTTAATGTGAGATTAAAGGTTTGGTGTTTGTTTTATGTGATGATGTGTGCCTTGGGTAATGAGGACTGTGAAGCACTTTGATGTTGCCCTGTTATATATATATATATATATATATATATATATATATATATAATATACATGTATATATATATATATATATATATAATTTACATGTATATATATATATATATATAATATACATGTATATATATATATATATATATATATATATATATATATATATATATATATATATATATATATATATATATATATACATGTATTCTCATAATAATATACATATAATATACATATATATATATTTATTAGTTAGGTACCCCGCTTCAAGACCGGATTTTTCCTGTTTCTGGATTCTAATATTATGAGGTACTCTTTTATTTAGATAACAACTAAAGTTGGAGAACCACTGTACATGTGGTCACACTGGTCCCGTCCTCGCCCACCCTGTCCCAGGCTCCTCTGGACTCTCTGTATTTGAGGAGGACTTTGCGAATCAGCGAAAACACACATGACCTGCTCGTTTTAAAAGCACAACAATAACTGAATTGGAGTTTAAACGCAGGTTGTTGACATGGATATATCCCTCAAAGGTACAGTACGCTGCTTTACAGAAAGAGGTGCTGCTAGATTCGGTGTAGCATGTAGCTTAGCACGTAGCTAATGTTAGCATTCCTTTATATGTTACATAGCAGAATATAACTTTGGAGAATTTGTCTTCTCATAGTATTTTTCCGTATTACCTACACTTTTTGCCCAAACACCGCGATTTCTCTTGTAGTTTCTCGATGAATCAGGCTAATTTAGGAGCGGCTTCTTTAAGCTAGCCCCATGTTGTGTTTGTTTACCTTTTGCAGAGACCCTACCAGTGAATGATAATTGTAATGAAATATCGTGTGACCACGTCTGAAGCAGGTAAAGACCACTAGATTAGATGCCAGTCTGTGTAGTTGTGTTCACACTTTTGAGTCTACATACATTTAACCATGTTTACATGTAGCTTTCATAAGATAAGATAGACTTTATTGATCTCACACAGGAGAAATGTACATGTCACATCTGGCATGGATAGAATCACTCAGAAATGTGCAAACATGTTAAATGCAGGATGTATTATGTACAATAAAAAGTGGCAATCAAAAAAACCATAACACGCTGCCACCACACGGCAGTGTAGTAAATGGCAGAGGCTACCAGGGAGTCATAAAAGGTCCTGAGCAGAGGCCTGCTCACTCCGAAGGACCTCAGCCTCCTCAGAAGGAAGAGGCGACTTTGGCCCTTCTTGTACAGGGCGTTGGTGTTTTGGGACCAGTCCAGTTTATTGTTAATGTGAACACCCAGGTACTTGAAGCTGTCCACCAGCTCAATGTCCTCCCCCTGGATGTTCAGCAGCGTGTATACCTTCATTCAGAGTCAGGCACTTGTTAGCAGATTTTGATTTAGGTTGTTTTGTTTCTGAAATTCAGGCCTTTCACATGCACTTGTTATCTTAAAAGGGTAAAGCAGGACACCTGATCAAACTAGAAGTTCCTGCAATTTTTGATACACAACTGTTTTCACGTGCACTTCTTTGGCCCCTGGCACATATTTTAGAACAGTTTATTTTTTATTTTAGGTGGGGCTTGCCGTTCTTGTGTTGCTCAAAATGTCACATATTGACTCACAAATTCTTCATTTGTTTTCTTCAAGTTTTACTCATAATAACCTCTTTCTTTTGTGTTACGTAAGCAAAATGTAATTTCTATGAAACACAAAAGTTAACCTCTTTATGAGATGCCACTTTCTACACGTCTTGCCGTTTGGTTCCATGCAATTTAATTCCATTTTATGATTTTATTAAACATACAGTACAGCTGATGGACATTCAGTCTAAATGTGGCCTCTGCGTAACCCAAGATAAGATAAGATCAATAAAGTTTTAATATTAAAGTAAAGTAAAATATTAAAATAAAGATCAATAAAGTTTATCTTATCTTGGGTGATGCAGAGGAAGATGGCAAAATCTAAAACAACCCTGCGAACAGGTCATTCGTCCGGGTTGCACTCAGTCTGCTCCAGGGCACATGTTTTTATACTTTTCTACTTTCAAATATGTATCCTCCTTTTACTTTTTGGATATCAAATAGGATTGGATCTAAACCCTGAATGTCACTGTAATATTTTGACAGGCAATATGTTGAGTCTGTTAATCACAACATATTGAAGTAGTTTTAAAAATGAAAATGAATGATCACTTGCTGAACCTTCCTTTATGACTCGCATACTTCTAAACTGACTTCAGAAGTAAAACGTTTCATCAAAAGACCCAAATGTGTAACCAATCATCTCTAAAAATGTTCTCCAGATGTTGTCTTGTTTTGGTCAAATTCCATATTCTTTGAAATTTTAGGGTCTAACAACAAATCGATACATGAAAAGAATACAGTTATCCCAGCAGAGCAATGTTTTTATTAATCAATTTAATTAAAAAGTAAAAACAAAACATTGCATAGGTGTTTGCATAGAATACAAGCAACAACGTCCATAATTTGTTTTGACATAAAACTGCACATGTATAGCTCAATGGTGTGTCTTTCGTCATCCGTCCTCTTTCTTGTTTGATGCAGGTCTGAAGAGCTCTTGTGTGAGTGTGATCCAGACCACAGCCTCACAACACACTCTGATTATGGCAGAAGAACATGATGTGAAGCAGGAGACTGAAGAGCAGCTGCAACTGTGAGAGTCGCACACAAATAGGGGTTTATATTTCAGTTTATATTTATTATTATTTCAGTAATAATTCAAAGAGAGTCCTACTGAATATATACTTTAAAAGCCACTCAATTCCCAGGCTTAAATGGGGAGTTGGACTATTCTCCTCTTCTTTAAGTACTTTTCAAAAAAGACCATTGATTATATTTCTTATATATTGTATTCTTTATAGGTGTGTACATAATATTATGCACTTTGTTTGGGAGTTTCAATATTTTTTCCAGATTTTAAACCTTGTGACTGTAGGCCCGCCCACTGACCATGTGACAAGCACCATTCTCTTTAAATCTGTACTGAGACACTCCTCTCGAGTATGCCCTGAAGAAGGCCAGAAGGCTGAAACGCGTAGGCGTAATTTTAACCTCTTTTTGCCATGTCAAATAAAGGCTTTTAAAGATTTTTGTAACTTTTGAGTGCCTCAGTCTTCTGTCAGAAGGGGTTTATATTTCACTTGGCCGCTTTCCCTGTTTGCCTTCCCTGCGCTGCCCCCGCCTGCTTGCTCCTCCTCGTCTCCTTCCCCTTGCCAGTCTTAACGATTTTGTCCACAAACCATGGGTAACCATGACTGTCAGCTTCTCACACAATGCAAATGGAGGAGCACATCCACACCGCGTCTTGTAGCTTGTATCTCAACCAAAGTTCCGGGAAAGGATTTTCCTCAGTAGGCTTTTTAAGTGATTCGAGTAAACAAACAATTTCTTTGCCGACTTCATCAACTTCAAAGCTGCTTTCCACAGCCCGGAGATAGCCGTTAGCTTCTCATACAGAATACTCATGATCATAACACTCTCCTTCCAGCCATACAGCCAAACGTTTCCGTGAGTTAGTACATCCACGGTTCGCACAGAATGTCCCAGAACCCTGTGTGCGTTTTGCTGCATCCATTTTAAATTCTGAGAACGTGCTAGGATCCTTGACAGTACTCTCTTCGGTCCGTTCTGGGATTGTGTAAGCCGCACTGAGAGCTAACCGGAAGTCCGTAGCAGCAACAAGGGGGAATCGTCGGCCACATGATTTCCCGTAAAAAAATTGTCTTTACACGCAGTTAAAAACAAAACGCAGACACAACTGGGCGACTCAAGGCATTACTTTACGATATACAAACTCCCACGACGGAGAGAGAGCACTTTGTTCCTATATTTGTTGTATCTCTAGAATACTCCATGTGCATGCTGCAGGTATTGTTGTCATTCTCCAACCATAGTTTTTGTTCATTGTTTTTTTTCAGGTCTGTCTGTGTGGCGACTCAAAAGTCCTCACTGCACCAAAAAGGAATCCCAGAGAGATCACAGATTAAAGAGGAAGCCGAAGAGCAGAGAATAAAACCGGTAGAGGATCCGCCGATAGTGTGAGTCTCACCGGACTTGTCCTGCTCTCAGTCTTTTGGCGCCGAGTTTGTCCTTTTTTGTCCTGGATTCCTCTTCTAAACTAAGACTGCGATTAAGACAACTTATTTTTATATGCATAACCATAGATTATTTGCACGGTCTGATGTCTCTCAACACTCACATATGTTTTAAGATTAAGATATCCTTTATTCGTCCCACAGTGGGGAAATTTCAGTGTTGCATCACAAGTTATAGAACAGTAGGAAAGAGGAGCACACAGCACAAGATAAGTGAACACTAAAACAAAATCTCTATCATAGCATCAAATAACAAGTATAACATCTCTATCTTGAAAATAATACTAATAAAAAAGAAGTATAAAAGTTTTACATTTGACAAAAAAAGAGGCAAGTATAAAGGACTGTGTATTCTAATGAAGTGCAAGCAAGCATGTTTAGAATGGATCAGGACCTCCTTCTGACACATGTCCTGGACGTTCGACCGTGCAGTTGACGATGAAGTCTGGTGTGGTGCAGTCGTTGGTGCTCATCTCCTCACACTGGTAACACTGGATCTGCAGAGCGGCCCCTGGACACACAACAGACACACAACCAGGCAAGCTTAATTGTATAGCACACTTGATACACAAGGCAACTCAAACTGCTTGTCAAAATAAGAAAATAAATATTAAAATCACACAAGTACCTCATTAAAGAAAAAAAATGTAAAACCATTTTTTTTGGGAACACAAGTAATATTTTTTGTTTAAACATGATTTTTAGTAATTATAGGTCTTTACAAAATAGTTGAGATGCAGCTTGATGGTAAAAGTGCCCGGGGAAGACCCAGGACACCCCGGACACTTAGATACTTACATAGTAAATAGAAAGGAGTAAATATTTGGCTTTTGATCTGGTTCTAGCTCATTATTAAAACTCTTTAGGTCTGACTGGCCCCAATATAATTATCATCACCAAACCATTAATATGATCCATGGACAGTAAATTATTGGACTGACCGAGTGTGACATCACCTTAGTGTTTGAAGAAAGGGGAAGAAGAAAAATTGAGCATTAGCCAGATGTAACCTATCTCCCAATAAGAGCATTTGTTCTGACAGTGTAATCTTAGGAACCGTGACAAGGATGGCTGCAAAGGCAAGTTGGAGTTTCCAAAGACAATATCAGAATTTATAACAAAACACTCCAGAATCACAAAGCTTTACAGCATGAGATTTTTTATCTCAAAATTTGTGAGTGTGAAATCTGGGAATAAATAACTGTAAAACAACGTGACCGCCTGTTCTGTCCAAAGCTCCTGTTCAGAGTCTGTGTCTTTTATATCTGTACCGTTTGGAGTGAGGCTCCTGTTTTGTGACAGTTTTTGGACCCAGATATGAGAAGGACCCCTCATGGATTGCCATGTATGATATAATCTGGATTAGGTTGTGCTATCTTAAACCAGTCTTCAGCATGGCGATGGATACCACACTACTGCAGCTTTGGCCGCCTATGGAGTTTTGTTCGTATCGTCCTCAGCTGACTGGGAACCTACAGATTGTAAAAAGGAGGATTTACTGGGAATTTTAGCATTCATTCCTTTTGTCCATCGTGAACGTTTTACAATTTATAATCCATTAGTTTTTGATAAATCCACACTTTTGTGCAACTAACTCGGCTCACTCTCATCCTGCTCCGATCAACGTTCTGTGTTCCAGCATGAGAGTGACATCTGCTGGTGCTACGCTGGTCCTGTGGAAGTAGAACACTGGGTGAGGGTTAGACCAGGAGGCCGAGAGACTAATGGCTAATTGTTGGGGATATAATTAAAGATTATAGATTACAGTTATAGATTATAAATTATGCCCAAAACATTTTTTTAATAACTGCAGACAAACTAAACTTTTTGGACGTAACACTTCGCGTCCACTTGTTGTTACGTCCAAAACGTCTAGAGCGATATTAATAGTTGAGTTGGTGGAGTTGGTTCTGTGAACATTCGGCAGTAACGGCTGCTTTTAATGTCAGTTTATTATAATATCAGTGGTAATAAACTACTATTGTAGCCACAGCTGCCCTGGGGCACACTGACAGAAGCGAGAAAACCAGTATGTGACCACCACCAATGTGGGTGAAACCTGTCTCCACATGGACAAGAGGCCAAATACTGCAGCCTACATTCACAAGGGAAGTTACAGAAATGACCCATAAACCTCAGTGTTCCCTCCAACAGCTCGTCCTCCGCTCACAGAGAACCTACAGCTTTCACAAAGGTCAGATTTTGCTGGAACCAACTGCACAAAACTGGGAGAACCAGCGCCGGCCAGAACGCCTCACTTTAGCTGATGTGTGGAGACTCAGGTTATGGGTAATTAATCTTATTAGTTTAGATTATTATTTATATTAGATGTTGAGTAGTACTCAGACTCATATTGTATAATAGTTTATTTTTAATAGACCACCACTGCACATACACAAGTAAACTGATTTAGCAGATCCAATGTATGGATCCTTGTAGTTAAATATATTTGTACATATTTCACATTTTATACCGAACAATAATAAAAGTAAAAAAAAAAAAAACGCAGGACAAACCCCCACCCCCGCTGTCAAAATGACAGATAAACAAGGCTGCACATAAATAATAGCCAAAGATGATCGCAGTAATAAAACATACAATCCAAATCAAAGGAAAGTGGAGATTGTTGGTGTCTCAAAGTAAACTAGAGATGATTTTCAACCCTTATCGAAGACTTTTTTTCTCATTTAAGATGGCAGATAACGTCCAAGCAGAGTGGGAGGTGACAAATACTTTCCCTTTTTAGTGAATAAGGCGATAAGCGAGCAGAGTGCTGAAGGCGAGCACCTTATGGCCTCCCAGCGGAAGACGCCGGAAAAGCGTTTGGATAGTGCCTCAAATATCATTCTCCAGTTCATATCAAGACTGGAACATTCCCGAAACATGTGGGACAGTGTGTAAGATCTACAGTTGAGCTTAAAGACCTGTGTCCTCCAGAGCAGAGATCCCCGTGAGCTTCCACAGGTGGGGGCTAGTCTTCTTAGTGTCCACTCAACACTGATAAAGTATACTTGCACTAGAAAACACAGCACTTTATACTTGCTGATTATTATTCCAAATGTAGAAATTTTATACTTTTTCTTATTCATCCTAGAGTTAGAGAGTTTTATTTAGTATAGACTTTTTGTTCATTTATCTCCTCATTACTGCTGTTCTGTAACTAGTTATGCAACACTGAAATTTCCCCACTAATCTTAATTAAAAAGGTGTTTGCAATACAATGAAAACACAAAATGGAACAGAGATTTTCCATCAGTAATTTAGTATTTTAGCAAAAAACAGCAACTTCATTTAATTATACAAGTATTGAGTTGTGCTATAAAGGTATACAGCAGGAGTTTCTTCTTCCGGGTGGATCTAGAGCAGTTATTCATTTATTTATTTATTTGAGAAAGGAGGAGCAATACACATTAACGAACATTTTCACAAATGTAAATATGTCACATTATTGCTTTAGGATAATTTCCATCTGCAGACCCCCAGCAGGTTGGTGTTAAAACCAGTGGGGAAGGGTCCCAGCTCAAAAGTGGCCAAAATGACGTGCGCTGACATGCTTGTAATACCACCCAGGGCCGATGGGGGTGGACCCGGAATAAGAATTAGCCAATGCTAACATATAGCATTGACAGACCTCTCAAAAACGTCTTTACAGGATGGACCAAAAGTTGGCTCTTGGCCCAAAGCTCCGTTCCACATGTGTGTCAATGCTGAGGGGGGTGAATGTTTTTGGTCCACTCTAGTTTACTCGCGGTGAATTTTTGAAGTCTCTCGTTCAAATGAATGGAGCTGCGCCGGCTGACGCATGCGCAGATGCGTTTTTTCACAATTTTTCTTGTGGGCGGGACCACTCGCGGCCATCTTGGATTGCTCCATGCAAGCACTTTTCATGGCCAACTCCTATGAACGGCGTGACTCTTTCCGTTAATATATACAGTCTATGGTTAAAACTCAAGTTAGTGAAAACATACAGAGCCACTATCTACAGACTATACAAACAGAGAGACAGGGACCAGAACAGTTCTCGTATCGAAGAACAAGCAACAAGACTGGACGACAAAGCACAATGTAGAAAACAGGAACAGAAACAAATCATCTGTATTGGGGGTGGGAACCTAAGGGTACCTCACGATACGATACGATACACGATACAAAGCTCACGATAACGATACTATCAATTATACTAACAACTATTTGTTTGTAGTTTAATGTTGTTTGTGATGTTGCTGTCTTTTTGGACCTTGAGTCCGTAATAAAGTTGAATTGAATTGAATATCACAATAACGATACTATCACGATAACGATTATATCACGATATGACGATTATCGATATATTGGTCAGAAATATACCATATGCAAATTTATGGCATAAATAAAAGAAAAATGTTGAGTGAAAAAATACACTTTATTTCATGATAAATGGAATGGAGATGCGTAATGTAGCCATATATTAAGTATTGATACTAATTTTAAAAAACAAATTGAAAATAAATAAATAAATCGATATCGATACTTGGCAAATGCATATTGATAATCGAATCGCAGGATATATCGTCACACCCCAAATCTGTATTGCACAAACCCGAGTATTGCACATGCCCTGACTGTCCTGATATCACACTGACCCATATTGCACCACTCTATATTGCACTGACCCGCATTACACTGACCTGTATTGCACAGCCCATATTACAATGATAATCGTTTCCCTTTTTGTAATGCACCAACTCCATTCCACGTCTGTTTAATAATCATGAATATCTAAACACGATCACATATACTCACTTATTTTGTGCTGTTTTCACTTTGTTCCAATTTTTCTGTTTCAATTTTTCTGATGCAACACTGAAATTTGACTTCGTAAAAGGATGTGGATGTCACAGCGGGAACCGGCCCGTTACGGTCCTTTAACCCTGATAAAGTGATAGTTCTCTACAAGATCAAGGCCCAGTCCCAACACTCGCACTTCCACCTCATGCCCCTCATTTGCACGTTCCCGAGGCTGGGTGCGAGTGCGTAGGGTGTCCCAATTCTCCAGGGAGGTCTTTGGCCCCGCCCCCTTTGCGCCCCTGATCCACACTTCGCCGTAGCCTGCATCTATGCGCACTCTGGCGAAGGATATTGCCCATAATTCTTTGCGGTACAAACCAAAACGTCGGGAAAATACATTTAAGTGTAAGTTTTGAAATATGTATGCAGTATGTGTGTAAATAAGTTTTGCTATGTTACTTGGAAAGCAGCATAAACGTCTGATGAAGACTTACGGACATTCTATGCTAACAATTTAATACGTTTTTTAAAGCAAGCGTTCATATAACATTCAATTTAAACTTTACACTTAGTACAATGAACTTAGAATGTATAAAAACTGACCAGATAACAGTTAGTTACCCACATTTAACTTAAAATTATACAGCTATCTCAAATTACAAATAACCGATATTTTATTTTAGCGTGTGTGGAGCAACTCATTTTGCTTCCCACAGGGTCAGACGAAATGACCTTTAATTTTTATAAAGTTTAGGTCTGAAAATGACCATCTCTCGACTACACGATGACGTAACATGCACTGTCCCAAACTTCAAACAAATGCACACTTGGTAGAGGAGTGCATTAGGTGCAGTGTGGGTATTGAGATAAGGCCCTATAGTCCACAGGAATGTGATGTCGCAGCGTCTCCTAGTGGTGACAGTCTGTAAGCACGGGTTCATCCAGTCTATGGTTCATCCACATGTTTGGATTATTAAGAACAGTCTACCTCACATGTAAAGATTCCGCAGCATTTCCTCAAGGATTAATAAAAGCAGATACGACAGAACAACAAGAGATAAACTAAACCTTAGACATTTATTCATGAGCAGAATTTTTATCAACCATCAACATTTAAACAATAATAACTGTGTATTAGCAGCTATCATCAATAGGTAAAAGATCTGAAAAATAGTGTGGGTGAAATAAAAAACAGAACTGAAAAGGAAGGACTGAAAAAAAAGAGTAAATAAATCCAAAGTGGGAAAAGCGCAGGGAATGAATACAGGAAGCAAACTCAATCTACACGAGAACAAATTTATAGCGAGATTAAACCAAGGGAAAAATAATCAAGACGTCCACATTTGTTCACCGTGGTTCTCAACTTGAGGCTCAGGGTCGCAAGTCTTTCCATCATAACGTCTAAAAGATGTCTCTACAACACTACAGAAGTCATTTAGACGGATGTCCAATTTTACCAAACGCCACACAGACAGGTCTGGAGGTGGACTCGAACCCAGGACCGCCAGATCCTGTCTCGAGACCAAAGTTGAACCCAAATAATCTATTTCAAATCTATTTATATTTAGAGAATCCACATGAAAAGTGAGCGGCCGTGTTTTCTCTGATTTACGTACCCGCCCTTTACTCCATTACTGCCATTAATCTCCGAGGCGTGGTTCTCCCGACGGAACTCAGAGAATATGAAGCCATGAACTCACAGAACAACAAGCTCCAGGACGCTCTAATGAGAGGAAATGAAATGTTCAAACGAAACACACTTTGTCTCATTTTGTGAAATTGATGTGAATCCAATTATTTATTTATTTTTATGCTGGAAAGAATATTTTATTATTTCATACTTTCTAGTCCATTTTCCTCAAAAACTCAAACACAATCAACCTAATTTAATCTAATTCACCGCCTCTTTCTGTGTTGTTAGCGACAAGCCACAAATCTGTCCAGAGACGACTGATGAAAAACAGCCTTTTTGGTAAATTACAGAAATTAGGATTAAGTGCCACAGTGGGGAAATGTCAGTGTTGCATCACAAGTTAAAGAACAGTAAAGGAATGAGGAGCAGAGAGCAAACGTTCAGTAAATATTGAATAATAAAATCAGCAATAAAATCAGTGTTTTTAGCTAAATGGAAAAAGTATAACGCCTAATGCAAATGTGGATTGATGTACAATAAACCAAAATGAATATACATTAATGTGAGTCAAATAAAGTATGATTAAAATTAGACCTTTTTTGAGAAAGAAATGTCAAAACTTACATAAAAATAATACATTACCTATAAATACTTCATAGTGTATTTTTCAATCAGGGATCTCCAATTGGCTCAATGTTTAATACCGTGTACAAATATATTTATATCGACGCATGTAATAATCTACGAATGCGCAGTTTTATCCAGTAGGTAAGTGAAATTAATTCAGAAAAAACAGACAAGAGAATATCATAGAAAAATCTAAAACTATTTCAGAATTACGGCTGATTAATTGTGTTTGTTTCTACAATGTTTACCAATTCAGACCGTTGCAGCAATTAACAGTCTCTAACCACAAACGATATTGTTCAAAATGGGAAAATGCATCAAAGCTGAAATCAATCCACTGTTTTGCAACTACTTTTTCTGTCTAATAACACGATCGACAGAAAATCTCTGAAATAAAAACTGTTACTTCAAAAGCTCCACTAATGTTGCAACACGTTTACGAGACAAGTTAGGAACGTACCTGTGTGGAAAAACAGTCCAAACAAAGTGGGTAGAAGGAGCAGATGCATGCTGGGAGTGGGTGCTGAAGCTTGGGGGTCATGGGGGGGGTCCTTCAGACGGAGACTCCGCGGGGGACGGAGCACCGGGATGTGGGGCGGAGGGGGAGAGCCAGAGACCAGGCTGCTGCTGCGGGGCTCATGGTGTGTGGAGGTCTGGAGGAGACTGGAGCAGTGTGAGGAGAGGAGTGGGAGAGGGAGATGGAGAGGGAGGGGGAGGGGGGAGAGTGGGAGAGGGAGATGGAGGTAGGAGAGAGGGAGAGGGAGGGGGGGGCGAGAGGGTTGGGGAGGTAGGAGAGTGGGAGAGGAGAAGGAGGGGAGGAGGGAGGGAGAGGCTTTACTCACTCTGCTTCTGATGAGAAAGAAGAGGAGGAGGAGGAGGAGAGAGTGGGGGGGAGGCTGGGTCTGCGTGATGAAGTGAGAGAGCTCTGTCCGGCAGTTTACATCAAAAAAAACATTCCGATCAAACAACAGTCAAGTTATTTATTTGTTTGGGACAGTGTGTATCCGTGAACGGCGGCTGTAGATTCATCATTGTTTCTTGAGATCATTTCCAGCCGGTGTCCCACAGTCGCACTCTCAAACACACTGAACATGTTTTAGTGGTGTGGAAAACCTGGTGCACCTGCAGGAAACCTACGCAGAAACGGGGAGAAGATACAAACTGGAATTAAACCCAGGACCATCCTGTTGTGAAGCATCTGAGATCCCCCCCCCCCAAACCCCGCCTCTTTATCAGGTGAATTGAGGTAATTCAATATTGAGATTTCTAAAGAGATTTCTCTAAATCAGGCATTTCAAACGTGGGATAAATCCGGCCTGCAAGACCATTTTTTGGGGGCCCCTAAAAAGGATTTCCATTTATTATTTTTAACTTTGCAGCATTGATGGTTATGGGTTACTGAGCCATGTTATTTTAATCAATTTCTGGGTCGGGGAGGGGGGGTGGCAGCCAGAGATGCCACCCAGTACACATAGCACCAGCCCCTCACTGATCCTCCTGCAGGGGGTGAGTCCACAGGTGCCTTGATTTTTCAGCGGGGGCTTCAGGCAAAGTGGGGTTAAGTGTCTTGCCTAAGGACACAACGACAGCAGACATCAATGGGAGTTGTGAAGTAGATCTTGTGTTGGGCTCGAAGGCCAATGCTCTACCAACTGAGCCTCTGTCGCCCCCTCATTAGAAGTTAAATAGTTAAATCAATTAAACAATGTAAAACTTTTCATTTGGTCCCATTTTAGTTAAATTCAAACGATCAACTGGATT